ACAGCGAACTCACAGACCGGGTCCTTCATGATTACTTGAAGAGTACCAGCCCAAGTTTTTCAACACACAGCGGATAAGTTACAATGCAAGTGCAGAAGATCCTCGAGGTCCACACGAGCAACTGGCACCAGGTTCTCACGAGGCGGCAGTGCATCGTGACCTCTTGGATCATGAGCCCTGCGCTCAGATAGAAGGAGACAGAGAATGTCTCCCAGTGCACCTCAAACCTTGTGCATGGGCTGCGACCAGAACCCATTGGTAAGATTTGGTAAGTTGAGGCAGAGCCTAGGCAGAAGAGTGTCTCATGATTAGAAATCTTTGCAACATCACCGAAGGGCGCCTCTGCAAAAAAGTTCTGAGTTATAAAGCGCTGCAACCATATCCTCCGAGGTGCATGTATCGTGTCAGGGGCCACACGCTCGCGGCGCAGTTGACCCTGGACAGGCCTGGCAGCAGATGAGGGGCTTTAACAGCAAGCAGCAGACATTCCAAGCAGACCAACATTTTTTTGTGGAAGTCATGGGTCCATCAAGCTCTCGGCATGCAATCACAGGTACAAGCGATGGGACGTGGACACGGCAGTGCAGACCCTCTCTATGTGTTTGCATCGTCCAGAGCTGAAGTGACTCTGTTGTTCGGTGCACCATTCTTCCTAGCATGGACCAAGGCATTGAGAATGAGCCCAGCGCAGACAGCAATGAGGCCAGACGCGTGACCGGAGATCCTGAAGAGTAGTAGCCAAACTAACCCTGGGAGGCAGGAAGAGCTGCAGCATTGAAGCAGGAGCTGCAATTACGAAGGATGCAACACGACACCCCGTGAGCATCCTGATTCAGACGTGCAGCTCCCAAGCCTCAGCAACCCGTGTCACTCTAGAGTCGCAATCGGCGGTGGAGGGCGAATTGTTTGCCAGGTAAGAATATTCCAGTAGTAGGCATTGCCTTCGCCTTGCCAGGTCCACCTCAAACCTTAAACCTCATGTCATATGGGGATGTTGCGCAGGTCGCATCACAAATCGTACCGCGGTATTAATGCCCGGTTTTGCCATCGAGTGTACTTCTCGAGTTGGCGAGCAATGAATTTGCATTCTGATCGATGCGTAAAACTCCAGAGATCTTCCAATCCGGAGCTGAGCTTCCAGCTTTCAAAAAACTGCAGCTGCCAGCTGCCAGCTCCGGATTGGAGCTGCCTTTAAGACTCGGAATTCATGGGCTAATCCGTTTTGAAACTGTGCGAAAGCCAGTGTGCTGGCTAGGAGCTTCGCCGGATTCTGCAGCGGTGCTCTCCTTACGGATCCGTTTAGCCTGCCTGTGCTCCATGCCGGGCAAGCGCAATGTGAAGGATGGTCTCCTTCGAGAAGATCCTTCAAGTTTCTGATGGGCGTTGGCAAGTTTGGCAGGACGGTGTTCTTCTAGCAGTATGTGAATTTGTGGCTACGGCAGACCCGATCGTGACAGGAAATCGAAGACATGAGTAAGATACAGGCAGGGTTTGGCACACTGAACAAGGGTCCCCACCTCAGCAGTGACAGTGGCGACAGGTGGGTGAGGCGGTGGAGCACCTTCTGTCCCTGCAACAGCATGACATGGCGCGTACGCTGGCCCTCACCTTAGCGGTGTGTGTCGTGACAATCTCATGCATCAAGTCGCATCATCTGGCCCTTTCTCGGCGCACGGCGCGCCTGGGCATTGAAAATTTGCGGAGTTGCATGCTGCAAAGCCAAACCGTGCAAAGAACAGCTGAAAGGGGGTACGCTCAGTTGCCCTGATAGAACAAAGCCGCCAAAGCCAGGGTCCGTCATATTTGTTGCCAAACCCAGCTGGTGCTGCACAATCTGTTGTCGAAGGCATCCCACATTGGATTGCGTGGCCTTGAAACTACGCGTAGGGGCGGGTGTAGGCCACTAGAATTCTACCCCTGAGCGCGCACAGTTGAGTTGTTGCCAGTAGGTGCTTTCACAACACGTCTGAGGCCCAGATGTATGGCATGACAGATCCGTTGCACTCGCTCGAGCTTTCCAGACTGCACTACTTGTTCACGACGAGACTTGGTTGCACAACACTGTGCCTGGTTCAAGTTCGCATTGCCGTGTGCCTCTTGCCTCGCACGTGCGGTACACTTTTCATCCATAGTCAGCTCGCTCAGCCTGACGCCAGGAAACATGACAAAACCAATGCCGTCAACAGGCCGCTGAGAGTTGTTCTTACATGGCTGCGTGCGGTACCACAACCACCCAAGAGAGTTTTGTCAGTTTCTTTGCTAACGCACACGCTTACCGACCGTGGCGTGGCATTCCAGCTCAAGCCATCGCCCCGATGGCCGGAGCAACCCTGTTAGTGAACCGAAGATCTACCTGAAGTGGGGATCCCAGCAATTGCTGCGCGCGTGTGCCACGAAGTTGCTGGCAGATATTCGCAAGTGGCATGCGAGGTCCAACACAACCTTTGGACACGTTAATGCCCGGATTGCAGCTTGTCCCAACCTGGCGTCGAGAGTCCGGAGTTGAAATGTTGTTCCTTGAGGTGGTGAGCGGACTGCAGATGTGGTCTCTCTGTATTTAAGCTCTCATATTTAAGTACTTCCAATAGAGTGTAGTGCGTAAAGGTCAAGCTTAGTGCACGCACAATTGGCAATAGGATCACGTTGCCGGCTGTCCATAATGTGATTATCTTGCCGTTCAGGTTTGCCACATAGAGGGTAGCTGCTGGAACTGTTGTGCTGGGACTGTTTCTCGAGACGGCGCTGTCATTGATTCTTGCCCAGCGTGGAAAGACCACGGTGTAGATGGCATGTGTTCGGCATTGTTTGATATCAAAGGCTGGCAAAGCAATTCTAACCCTTCGCCTGTTAAAGCTGTTACACTCACTACAAGATTTGTCTCTGCTTCCATCTACGACCGTTGTGATCCGGCGTGAAAGTCTCAGGAGACGGCTTGGCATCGCGTTCTCACTTCTGATTATTGGAACTGGAGAACGAATGCTGGCTGCATGATGAGATCCTGGGAGCATGCATAATGAAAGCTGGGATACAACAACACCGCAAAGGTACTGCGACTGACGCTGCAGATGATTGGGAGAGCGATGATGTGCACAGAAATTTGACTCAACTTGAATAGCTTTGTTGCCTGAGCCGCCGAGAATCTTGTTGATCAGTGAGGTCTCATATGTAGTCTGCTACGGCAGGTGCCACATGGCCGTCCTGCGTACCATGTTCAACACTGTATGGCAAAGCCAGCAAATCACGAAGGAGTCTCTAGTTCAGTCTTGCTTTTCCTTAGCAGTAGCAGCAGACTAAAGCTCGAAAGCAGCACACGATTGTCGAAATTGAAGGGTTAATAGAAAGCCAAGCCTCGGAGGGGGTGGGACTTCGGAGGAAGATTAACGGAAACCTTCAAGTTTGCCGGAGCATGGATTGGGGGCTGGAATGCGAGGGATTATACATTCCCTCCAACGACTCACTTGCTCACTCGTGCATTGCACGCACGCAATCCCTCCCTCGCATTTAAATTGCGTGCCGCTCGTTCGCTCACAAGTTCACTGACACACTTCACTCATTCACTTCCCCGCACATACACACACACACACAGAATTCCAGGTATCTCTTTTTTTTTAGCTCGCCATGCTTACATCCCTCAGCCCAACCACTTGACCACGCCACACTGCATGCTCTCCTACCTTACCCTCCTCAATCCGCTCCGCCTTCCTCTGCTCACTTCCTGCTTGGCATATTCGCTGGCTCGCCTCATTTTCCTTTACACACATCCATTCGCTGACTCCTCAGCAAAACACTCACGGAACGCACCCTCTCACTCATACAGTCACTGGATGCGGGTTGCATTGACTCATTGCACTTGGGTAGCTTACTCACTTCTTTTCGTCATGATTCCTCATTGTGTTCAGCCACGCCGGTTGGCTCCACCCACCGTGTTTTCTCCTTTCGCTGTACTCAACTTACTTCCTTCATTCCAATTATTTTGTCATCTCCAAAGCTGCAACCCTGACTGGTATACTTCCCTGACTGATTCCTTCCACCAGCCGCTTATCAATTGACTCCATTCCCTCACTCTGTTCACGTCACTGGCTTTTAGCCACCCATTCCACGGACGCAGCCGCTCCCTGCATATCCATTGCCGGAGTTCGCGCTCTGCTGCGTAGCTAACATCAACCCCGGCCTGCACCTTAAGTGGAACGGCCGAACAAAAGGCTTGTGTCTCAAGTGCTGAAGGGGATGGAAAGACTCATACTTGTAACGCAACCATCAAGAGGGGATTGGCCTAGGTCTGGCACAGTTGCAGCTCCAAGTCTGTGCTTCCTTGTTCTGCCTCCACTCAGTGGTGGATTTCAACGGATCTAAGGCGAGTGCATATCCTTGATGCAAAGGGCAGCTGGACTGAAAGACAGGCTGCGAATGCGGCCTGTCACAGAGGTGGGCTTTCTTGAGTGCAGAAGTCAATGACTGAAGCGTTTTTGGTGCAAGGCCTACAAAGAGAGCGCCCCTTTTCGAAAAGCGTTGGTAGTTTCTATAGGTTCCAGCCTCAGTCCAGATTCAGGGAAACAACTTAAGCCTGGGGAGATAGTGGCAGAGTCTGAAGAGCCTGAACTGCTCTCAGAACCGGAGAAGTACAAAGTTACGGAGGCAGAGCTTCAGGACTCATGGTAGTTTTGCCAGTTGCTGCATTCTGCAGACTGTTGCCAGGGCAACTGACGGCTTTGACCCTCATCTTTAACTTTAACTGCACTCTCTTGGAACATGATCCGCATCTCGTAAGTCTGGTGCCAGGAACTGAGCGTACCAGCAGAAATGGTGTTTCGCGGCCGCAGCTGTGTTAGCCATGATCCGAGAAGATCATGTAAATGGGCTAATGGAGAGCTGAGCGGCGCTGTTCAACATGATACGGGGAGAGCTGAGTCATTCCATTCAACAAGACTTTTACTAAAGGGTGTGGTGTGCATCAAGCCTGGGAGCAGACTGGCTGGGGCAGGCGTGGCTACGATGGAAAGATGGCCTCAGAGGCTGTGGTACATGTTCAACTTCTGCCACCAAAGCTTACAGAGTATGAAGAGCCATTCCTCGCCGACTTGCTGTCCGTTGCAGTTTGTCCGTTTCTTCGGGCTCCATCTCGATGGTGTGTAACATGCCGACAGGTCCTTGAGGCCCTGCAGCTTTTGAAAGAGCCGTTAGCTTAGTTGCAGAGCAAATCCAAACAGTTGGCTTCACTCGGGTCCCAGACACTATGGCCTTTTGCAAGCAGCTCCAGGTATGGAAATGCAGCCAGCTTGCATTCCACTGTCAGCAACTGGATGGTGTGCATGCATACCTCCCCAGGGAAGCCGCCAAATCTTGGCGGGCGTTGCAAAATATGATCTGCCTAAATCAATTAGTTCATCATGCTTTATCTAGATGCGCATGTCTATATAACAAATGTTCCAGCGGTTCAATGTGGCGTACTAGTACATACATCCCTGAGGTGCGGCAATGTCGGAGCTCTGGAGCAACCTTTTCAGACCGTCGCCACAAAACGTCGATGAGCTGCTTGAGCACGATCACCATGGATGCGTGCCGAAGGTGCAGTTCTTCAATTCTTCTCAGCAGCTCATGTTTTGAAGGGCACACTTGCATGATGCAGGTCATCGCCATTGCTGCTGCTCACGTGCGGCTGTGGCGCGACCTCGCCAGTGGCAAGCTCCCTGTTCAAGAAGATGCAAGCTTGGAGAGCATGGAGCCTAGTCTCACAGAGCCTCGCAGAGCGGTGCCTTTGAGATGTCAGGCATCCTGAAGCCTCTCACGACCCTTAGGTGACCCCTGGTATCTTGTCATGGAGGACGATGTGATTTTCTGCCCTGGCTGGCGTGAGCGCATGCAGCGGGAGCTTCCTTTGGCTCCACACGATGCGGATGACTCTTGCAGAAACCTAGATCTTGCTTTGGTTAGGCATCTCTTGAAGTAACTCAGCCATGGGCGTCAGAACCGCAAAGCTTTGTGCACAGGTAATCAAGCTTTTCTTTTTTGGACACTGGCGTGCTGAAGATCAGGCGGCTTTGACTTCAAGTGGGTCCATGAGACTTCCGTGCTTTTTGCTGTTGCCAGGTGGGCAACAGCTCCCTGCCGGGCCCGTTTCTTCAGGCGAAAGATCCTTTGCGCGGTTGGGACCTGGTAACTTCAGCACTCTACGAATTACTGCATGGCGTCTCGCAGCTGCACGAAGCGATGAGAAGCACATTTGGTCTTCCCCGCTCTGTTTCAAGCATTTCGAACCGAGCTGAGGCTGGTTGGTCGAAAGTTCCCGCGGCCGGGTTCTATGCGGGGACACAGGCCTACCTGATCCGACCCTCCGGCGCCCGGAAGCTGCTGGCGCCTTCGCCTTGCAGCAGCATCAACTGTTATTGATAGGTTGAAAAGAGGCATTTCTTGATTTGCAGAGGCATACTTTCAAATTCACTATTGACCGCGATTTTGCGCCCAGGAAAATATCCGTGGCAAGCCTTTCCAAGACATTGACATGACAATGATGGGCAGTGTGTCTTTGCAGCGCATAGCGTTCTGCAGTTCACTTCCCTCTACGAATACAATGCTTATGCTAACAACTTTCAGCTCAACGTTGACTCACCGTTGCACTTTTGCAGTTGCGTCAGGGATCAAAGCTGTTAGTTTGTCAACGAGTACCAATGCAGTGACGGGGATAGCATCGGGTCAATCGCTTTGCCACTGGTCGTGCAGAGGTCCTCCTGGAGTAGAGTCCCATGTACAGTCCCTCCAAAATCCTCCCAAGGCAGGAAGACTTTTTGTGAGTAGAGTTCGTGACGGATTTGGCCTGGGCAAGTGACGCATCTCTCACCCCTGTTGCACCGTTTGCGCTTTCACGCATGATCAGAGGTTTAGTGTGCAAGGCAGGAGCCTGGTCTCTCCGAACCTAACGCAGAAACATCCTGTGGCTCCAGAAGGATTCAAAGACAGAACAAAAATCAAAGCCTGTCGCTGGTCAGTGTCCGATAGGCTGTGGGAACCTAGCATGGCCAAGCCTTTCTCGCATGCAAGAGCTAAACCATTGGTTGAATTCGAGACTTCCCACCAGAAGAGCTCTGTCAGTTGTTTTCACTGCATTCTGTCCCGTATGAGATTTGCCTAGGTGAAAAACTATGTTTGGCGAAGAGTGCTAGTGAGGGACCGGCCAGAGGACCCAAGACAAGTGAGCTTGTTGCAGACAGTTCCAACTTGTAATGCGGAGCCTCCGAAAGATCAGTTCCGATAGGCTGAGCCATCGGACGTGCTGAGCTCTGGGATGCCAAGCTTTGCAAGTATCTGAAATTGCAAAGTCATTAGTGCTATAAGGAGAGGAACAGCAAGTGTTACTAGGGGAGGGAGCTTTGTGGATTTGTGTTCGGAGCCTGCATAGCATCTCCTCTACCAGCGCGCTCAGACTTTGGCTGCACAAAAGTTGGCTGGAGTCGTCTTAATAGGAATCCCGCCGCAACGTTTTGTAGGGCTCCTGGGAGCTTTGTGAAGGCCATCTGGAGGAATCCCCAGCTCCCATTGTTCGAGAGTTTTTGCCTAAGTTCAAGATTGAAGTCCCGCATTGGAGCATCATTTAATTAGCCCTGATTCAGTACGTGTTCCAGATAGCTTGGTCTTTCCGGCTAGTCAGTTCACATCATTGCGTGCGCAGATCACTCCAGATCATTCATCCATCCCAGCCTATGAGAATGGCATGTCAGGTAGCATTGCCTCTCCTCGCATGTTGTTGGCACTTGCGTCCCCAGTGGGTACTACAAGTACCGATGAAACAGTTCAGAAAACTGCCATGTGCTGTTCGGTGACTCTCAGCTACTGGGGATGCGAGCTTCATGGTATCAGGCTCTTGTCGCTGCCACCTTCCCAAGCGGTCTCCTTCGCTCTGCAACTGCTGGACATGTGTGGCACTCGGGCCTGTCCTAGGGCACATCGAGTGACGGCAGATGTCGGAAAGCTGGGTTGACACCTCTTTGAGAGTTTGGGCAGTGGGCGCATTTCACAGCAATGAGCAGGTTCGACGTCATTCAGCACAGAGCTCTGCTTTGCCAAATGCTGTTGAAGCAGCTTCAGTCCTGGTTGACTCCTGGCGAGGCGGGCAGCGGGCACTTTTGGGGCACTGTAGCTATATTCTGGATTTTGCAGCTTCTCCGTAAGGAAGAGCGCCTGCGTGTACTGCTGGCTTCACTGCAGCTTCTGGGTGAAGTCAGTGAGACGATGCGGCCGCATTACTTGAAGCTCCTCAGGTCTGCCAAAACATGTTTCCAGTCTTTCGAGCTTCAAACTTCGCAGCGCTTGAACAATGGTCTGCAGGAGGCCAGAGCTGATAGTCGAAAGTCTCCTTATGAACGCGTCATCTCCTCAGACCGGGGCGTTGTCTTAACTTTAACCTAGCCAGCTAGTCCTGAGTTTCAGAGGCGAGTTGATCTGCTGAAGAAATTCCTGGAAGATTTCCCAGAGCCCGGCGCCTACTTTCTCACCACGTTCCGACTATGGAAGTTTCTGCGCATTGCTTCTTTAGAGCCATCTCTCGGTTTGAAGCACTGCCAAAGTTGCATACATCGAAGGTACCGTCATGATGAGCTGATTCTGCGGTATGCTCGCAAAGCCTTGGCACTTCAACCGGCTTCGCACACACCAGCACCACGCCCGCATCCAGTACTCAGCTTGACCAAAGCTTTCTGCGCCCATGTCAGCTTCAAGTCCGCAGCCATCAACCTACTGCATACCATGAGCGCTGGAGTGAAAACGCTGGGATGCAAGTAATATCAGAAGATGCAACGGTCTCTTGCTGCTTCGCGCTTGCCTGAGGTGCCGGTCGAAGCTGAGGCCACGCCAGGGCAAGCCCTTCCGCGTACCAAGTTGAGACATGTCTCGTGTGCCCTTGCAGGAGGAGATAGAAGAAGAGACCGACACGGAGACGAGGCGCAAAGAGCATAGGGGTTGCTTAGCTAGTACCCTGCTTCGCCCCGAAAAGTGAGTTGTTCAGCCTGCTCAGACCTCAACGACTCTACCTAAATCCCACCCTGAAACCTTCAGCAACCGCCACATACACAGAATCATCCAAGCAGTCCACCCCCCAATATGTGCCAGCCTCACTTGACAAGTCTTCTACCCCTACGGCTATCCAAAATCTCAACCAGCCTCCACCACATACGCATACCATACTTACATACACCCGCGCATACACACACACACACACAGAAACAAACATACAAGCATGTTGAACTGAACTCCTCAGCAAGTCTCCCCTCCCCCACAAAACTGGCCTGTACCGTACTATTGCATCTTTTTCTGTACTCTCACATAAACCTGGACTGCAACCCTTCAGGTCAAGTCTCCGCAACACTTTCTCCCTACTAATCGTTTGACCTCAAGCCGATCGCATACTGTAGAGTATACTCTGGAGGACTCGATGTAGCGGGCAATCTCTACTATACTATACAATAGTACACACTATATTATATTATGGGCTTTAGGGCCTAGGGGCTTAGGGTTGGGTTGAACAGCAAGATACTCATAGATTGCCAGAGTTGATGTTGGTAGGTTGAGCGCACGAAAATAGAGTCCCGATAATGTTCCTGGCGGTGGTGCATTGTGAATAGCGTAGGTAGCAGTTGCAAATCGTTTTTGCCGACATCCATGCTTCCTGCAGTGGATAGCCATGTGTGCAATCTGGCGGTCAACGGACCGTGCATCTACATTGGCCCACTCCGGGCAGGGGGGCGTGGCAGCGGGAATTGATCTGACACAAATTTAACTAGGACATCTGCAGTCGTGGAGTGGGACACCAACCTTTTGTGCAGGTTTACAGGCCTCAGGACCTCTTTGCCAGTGGGCTCCTTTGTCTATCAAGTCTGGTTCCTGGGATGGCCGTCATTTGCTTGTTTTCCCAGCAAAAAGCTAAAACAAGCTGAAGACGAGGATAGTGCTTAAAATCTGCCATCCAACATCCCAAGTATGGTCTGATTGCCCACAACTAGTACTTCAAACAGCTCTCACAATGGCTTCTCAGAAAGAATTTGTTATTAATTCTTAGTCACCATCACTATCAACATGTTCAACTGGCATAGGTGTGGCATTGCTAGATTTTCTGGTACTTAGCATTTCTAAGCCACGAATTCAATGATATTCATGCCCTTATTATCAACATCACACAATACCCGATTTTCAATTTCCAACAAGTCAACATGTTCATCAAGGATTATTTTTCATATGTTGTGTAGCTTCTTTTTCTGCCGTGTTGTTGTGTCGCAACCGGGTGCCGTTTGCATTCTTGTATCTTATTACGGCATGCGATTTCAAGCTGTTTTCGTGCAGTTTACCTTGGTCATGTCGTGCTGTAATTTTAACTGCTACACGCTACATTTTTCTCACATCGTGTGCATTGCATTGTCTCTAGATCACCCAAATATCTGCAAGGCAGTTTTCCTCTAGTTTTCTAAGCTCAACCGTGGATATGTCCTGCAGCTACTGTCAATTCTTGGCAGTGGTTCAATCAATTCTGGTGGTATTTCGGCTATTACAATGCTTCTCGCTTAGTTGAAGCACGTCAATTTCTCATTATTTACATGCCTTATTTCATTATCTAGGGAGGTAAACCATAAATGTTTCTATCTCGTTGTTTTGCAACCAAGAACTCACAAATTATTTTCCCGTTTTTGTTCTTCGAGCGTACTAGTTCGAATCGGTTTATTTGTGATAGTTATCTGTAAAGTCACCGTCAAATTTCCCCCTTTTTCATACCGTAGGTTTTTTGACTAATTACGTAACACTACCGAGACATAAGCGAATAGATGTTAGCAGCGTTTTCCATTCTACCTACATATGAGACAAAAATCGCATGCCACTTCACCTGCAACAAATTTCTTACTAGTATTAATATGCAAAGTAACAGTTGTCCGTCGGCATTTGTTATATCATATTTGTTTCTTTTCGCGGTTGATACCGTGCCGCGGGAAATAGCTAATTCTTTTACTGGTTGATGCTGTGCCGTGTGTAATATCTAAATGTCCCAGTAAATTGATGTACAATCTGTTGAACGCATGTCTGAGGTTCATATTTCTGCTCCTACGATTATATTTAGTTCACTTAATCCATCACAATTTGAAACATACATTTTGCATTGAGTATCTGATACTTCTCTAATTCCTCCTGCGTTCTGTACTTCAAACGTATCCACGCTATCGTATCCATTTCACGTAGCATGATGCCTATTCTCTGAAATTTAAAGCTATTTGCAATAGCCTTATTCATTGGAATATGTGATGGGCTGTCATTAATGCTTAATGCTTTTGTGGTACTCATAAGGTCAGCGCCTCGATATGTCTGCAATGAGAATTTAACCTTGTTTCAACAATAATACTAGTGAATCATTAGTGTTTGCTCGTTGGAATATTTCAGATTTAGCTTTGATTAACTATGACTTCTTGGAGCTGAATTGTTCCGCCAATTGTTACACAAGATCTTATAGCGCGATTAGCACGAATACCAATTCTACAACTGCTGGTAGTTCCTAGTCTTACTCTATTATCACCATTAGGTGTATCTTGTATAACCATCTCTGCGCCGTGTGTATCTGGTGTCGAAGTATTTAAGCAGGTAACTGTTCTGCTTCCAATTTCACCCGCTCCGTGATTCTCTCCAACTCTTAAAGTGTCATGGCTATCACCGGAAGGTCTGACGACATCCGCCCTTTTTCAATTGACATATAGATCAGCTATTGAATGCAGCCGTGTTCCAATTCCTGCTATTTTGAACGTAAATGTTCCACCCACTGTGTAACAGGAACTGGCGTTCGGTTTAGTTCCTATTCCTACTGGAGCTGTTGATGCTGTTCCTATTCTCGTTTCCTTTTTATTTTCTATAAACGCATATAAGATTTCATTACTCAAGTTTCTACAAGCCAAGGTTCTGTTTCAAAACTCCCATATTCTTTTGAACATCTCTAGCTCTTAAAGCGTATGTAGCATTTCCTGATGGTTTGTAAACATCAAATCCTAAATTTTTGACAGTCCTTATGGCATAGCAGAAGAAATTTAAACTACTTTGTGTTATTTAGTTCTAAACCTGCGGTGTGTCATCACCTGTCTATATGAGTGTATTTTCACACCTTTTGCTTTGATGTATTTAGTCGGTTTTCTTAATGTACTTGCATATCTATCTGTTTCAGTTCGAATAAAGCTCCTTCTACTGGTTCAAGATTTACTGTCTCGTTTTTAAAGGTGATCCTTCATGTAGTCTGTAATATTGTTGGTCTGCTACCATCTGTAATAGGGAAAGACTGTTGTTATCTTCAGACCTGCTTTTACTTTCTTTGTTTGGTAAAAAAAGCATCCGCTTCGGTTTGAGTATAAACGGCAGGAATCTGTCTCAGCCTCAGTCTAAGCTTCCATTCTACTTTCTTGACTGTTGTGAATCGGTGTTTGTGTGCCAAAATGAGCTATCAAGCTATAAGCATTACGACAATTACCTGTAGTGTCTATTTCAGGCTCACTATGAATATCAGTTGCAAGTTGTGTCTGGTGTTGAAATTAGCATCTATACGTAATTTACCATCAGAAATGCAGAAAGGGACTTAGTTTGTAGTTATGTTATTGTTTGGTGTTGTGTTATCGTTTGATACTTGTTGGTTACGCTGATGTTTGTATGTTTTATTGCCGTCGTTTTTTTCATTGTTTTGCATTCAGCATTGCTATTGATGCAGTGCTTGTGTCCGCTTCTGCATCAACTGGATTGACTTCATCATCGACTTGCTGTTACGTTATGCCACCTCCCGCTGTTGCTACTGAATTGGTCGTCTATCTTGCTTGGACCTGGTGAGAAAACTTCGTATATTTCATTTACATAAATCGTACTGATGTTGTTTATAGAAACCACTATGAAATTAAGAAGGCAATATTTTATTCAAAAGATGTGTGAATCGTGTTTAGTCAAGAACTGTGCGAGCATGTTCGTTCATTGCAAAAACTCGCTCGCTCACGGCTTTTATGAAAACTCGTGCAGTTTCTAGCACGATATTTGTTGTGGCTTTCGATTTAAAGAGTGATGGAAGATGCCATTTTAATGTTGCTTCCAGCGAAACTCATCTCGGACTGCTTATGCAAATTTATACCAGCGATGAATTTATCGTTGTCATAGCAGTAAATGTCAATTGAGACACCTTCATGGTAAAGGGACATAACTTTAGCGTCATTGCAAAGGAAATACATGGCTAAAGAAATGCTTCTGATTTCTTGTTGCGATTCGGTATTTGCGCCAAGAGGTGTCTGTCGATGCCAATTGCACCCTAAAGGTTGTCAATGCTTACAGCCATAGGATGGAAAAACGGTTCCATATGTTTTTTAATCAAAATTGCCTGCTTTCTTGTCATCGTTGATTTTGCTGTTGCTGAAGGTAAAAAACACTTTGGATAAACGAGTTGAGGACTTATCGATATTCATATTGATTTTGGTATTGCTTGCTGTGAAGGTTTGTGAAAAATGTGAGAGGCAGGATAAACCATTTTCTGTTGCCCGCCTCATAGTAAATGTGACGGTATTAGTCACCTGGATTATCTCGCATCTTAGAATTGCACTCTGAATAGCCCACGAACTTGTCGTGTTGGGTGTAGCAAAGTATGACCCACTCACATCATCGTCGGCTCGTGTTGCTGCTACTGGTGTCGCTGGTCGGATTACTTGCTCGCCTGCGTCTGAAACGATTTCAAAAATGAAGTCTAGCGGGCCGTAAGGAATAGGGGAGAATATCATGATTGGATGAAAGAACAGCATGGCTTATGTCCCCTTCTTACGAATTGTCCGTGTTCAATTCAGTAATGGTGGCGCGCGTTAACTTTGGTAAAGCAACGCCTCTTTTATTTGCTCCTGCTGTTGCTGTTGCGTCCTGTGTTTGTGTTACTTTGGCAGAGACTCGGTTAGTTCTACTGAGATAGCGTATTAAACAACCCTCTGCTCCAACTGAAGAATTAAAATGTGGCAGCTGTCGACATTCAGCTGTGACGCTTGGCAGGGGCACTGTTGCCTCGCCTGGCCGCAAAATGCTTCAGGCTCGAGCTGTTCCACTCCATCTGACATAGTCATTGTCATCCTGTGTTGAGCTCGTGCCAGGCTGAAGGCGAAGGACTGGGTGGTCCATGGTGCCTAACCGGCTCCCCCGGCAAGGCAAGCCGGCAATTTGCTGCTACGCTCTTTGCCAAGAATGCATTCAAGACAGGACAGAGAGATTCGTAGCCGACACCACTTCGAGGAGGCAGGAGGAATTGCATTGCATGTTGGTGGTGTTGGAAGCGAGATTGATCTTGAAATGTTGCTTTGGCCATACACCTGGGTTCGGTCAGACATGTCGCTGGTGACGCTGCCAGGCCCCCAGCAGCGGCTTGACGGAGCGGATTCTCGAGCGACTGGGCACCAACTGAAAGTTGCTGGCATTTTAACATTCGTGTTGCATCTGGAGAGCCAGCAACTTCTGTGCACGTATGCGAAGCCTGTGCATTCCACGTGGACCGGGCTGCTATGAGATTCCAGAAGGATGGAACCACTCAGTATTTTATGAGGCTTTGCTCGGACAGTCCTGACAATGCGGCAGCATGCCGGGATCCTACGAAAGCTTTTCTCAGTGCAAGTTGCATGTCCTGTGTCTTTGTCACTAAGGCTTTCACATCTGCGATGAGCTGTCCCTCCGCCTCTATGCCACGCACTTAAGCCAAAAGTGAAATACGACAAACATAGGAGCGATGTTTGATCATAGCGGTGAAGGGACAATGTGGGTTGGCAAAGAATCTGTTGCAGCAAAGAGCAGCAAACTAGCTGGAACATGGGAATAGGGAATAGGCTGGACTATTCTAATTTACCTCCTCCTTTCTAGCTTGGAACTCTTGGCAGTGCTCGCTAATTAGATTTTGACCTTAGCTTACACATGTCACCCATCTTGAAGCAAGACTTCACATGCGCTAAGGATCTGACACCGAAGTCTGGTGGCAAGACCCCAACAGTCTGGCAGCCTTCCCCCAAGTGAGCATTCCAATGTTTGGGAGATGCCGTGAAGGGTCAACCCAGGCCTGGCACCCCCTTGACGTCAGTGCGGCTCCTGACGCGGGCGCCCTTTCCTTCTGTCGAAGCTACCATTCCTTAGACGATTGATACTTTCAAGGTTCTTGATTCGACGGCTACTGAGCTATTTACAAGGGAAGTAGAGGACTCAGCTAAAAAGAGCTATGCAGCACAGACGGCTTGTCTTCGTGTGCTTGACACCAAAGGTTTTGTGGTGCTGGCGCAGAGGTCTGCTCTCCTGTTTACAGTGATTCACTTGAAAGCAATCAGCCACCCCATAAAGCATGTCTTTGAGACAGCAGCTAAATGATGGTATCGAAAAAGCGTCCTCGTGTGCAAAGGTTCAGCTCAAGCTTGACAGAAGTCTCAAGAACTTGGACTTCATACCGCACTTGTGGCATGTGATCAGCTCAGCTTGCATATTCGGGCTGAACCGTAGCTTCGCTGGCTTTTGTGCTCAGCACATTCCCAGCTGTGGACAGGTAAGCGGTCGCAAGGCCTGATCCGTTTGAACGTCCAGCAATATTTCCTGCACCAGGGACGTATGACTCGCTGGCTGGCTCGCTCTCTCCCTCTCTCTCTCTCTCACTCTCTGTCTCTCTCTCGCTCTCGTTCTCTCTCCCTCTCTCTCTCTCTCTCTCTCTCTCTCTCTGCAAGTGTTAGTTTTTCAGAGCTGAAGTTAAGACGACATCTGATTTTGGCACGCACCCGTGGCCATTTGGAGCTTGCAGCACACAAGACGCGGAGTCTGCTTCGTGCATGTGCAAGCGTAGGGGGCCATGGCCGACATTAATTGGTCTCTTGGCAGTTATTGTTTTGTGTGGCCTACGTTCTTTCTGCATCTGTGGCAAGAGGAACCTTCAGATCATATGGCCGGGCTGTGACTTACACAGACTCCGCTCAGGAGATCTCATCACCTTTCCCTTCGCCAGCTAAGGGATGGTGACTACTTCGACCTGCCAAAGGAGAAGTTTCAGCAAATGACAGTGGGCCAGCGTCTGGACCACTTTGCAAAGAGGATAGTAAAGCATGGGAGACTCAGACGCACCAAAGATTCTTTGGAATGAGGTGTCGAACAGCCTGCACTCGGCTGAAGAAGAACACGGTGAGCACATGTGAGCACGTTTATCTGAAGTCCAATGTCAAATTAAGGATGGAAAGACCTGCTCTTATCTACAGGCTTCTCTATAGTCCATTTCGCCCCGCGATCAAGTTTTGCAATCGACGTGTCTCGATATTTTCGCAAGCTGCCACTGCGTGGAAGGTTCCACATCAAAATGCTCCTGCTCAACTATGGAGGCAACATTGCAGCAATCAGCTTTGTCTGGTGCATGCAAAGAAACCAATCTGCATCAATCTGCTCTTCAAGCAAAGAGCCGACCATGCCAAGCACAGCAGAGGCTATTGCATTTTGGTAGGCCTGATGCCAAGGCCCGACAAGTAAATGCATGTTGAGACCGTGCCTTCTACCTGCTGCAAAGCGGCGAGGCCCTCTGCTATGCCTACTTATGACTATTCCGTGCTCCTCTTCGCCAAGCTGCTTGTGCAGCCCTTGGAGCCACGTACTTTGCTATTCAGGCAAAAAAATGTCACCATGCCCTTCAGGTCTGGCAGCACTTGGCTGAAGCATTTGGGTGCCGTCAAGGACCCCTCAGTGGAATGACATTTCCCACCAACTGGTTGCACCTCAAATGGTTAAACACGCATGAACATGTCGGTTAGTTCTCTAGTAAACTCTGCCTGACCCTTGAGCCCCGAGCCCTAGGCTCTTCATAGCTTTTTATTTGCATCAGTCTATGGCGCGCTTTCAATTAGTACGGGGCCCACGCAATGGAAATGAGGTACCGCTTGTCGAGGGGGACTTTGAAGTACTCATGTTTGCCTCAGCTGGGCGGAAACAAACGAAATGTTGCTCTGCTCAGTTAGAACAGCAAGTTGGGGTGGAGGTGCAAGGCAGCATGCAGGCTTGCGCTTCGGAGCTAAGGTTGTTGACTTTGCAGTTCACTGCCTTTTCTTCATCTCTGGATTGGCTTTTCTCTTCTGCCCATGGTACAGCTTTGTTTGCATAAGAGCAGCTGGGCTAAGCTTCAGTCAGAAGCCAGCCCACCAGCCTTGTGGCTTTGGCATGTGCTTATTAACAGGCTCTATTCTTCTGCGATGTTGCTTGGCGGCAAGCACAGGCATGGAATGGTTGCATGCTAAGCAGCAACAACAGAATAGCAGGGTGCCGGCAGCAGCAACGTAAGCTACCAGTACAGCTTTCGCCTTGCAACGCCCAAATGCCAGATCTTCAAGCCAAGGTGTATTTGTTTATGTTTGCCAGCCACTCAGTACGTTGGCACGCTTGCCCGTTAAAACATCACGTAGTCATGCATTCTGTTCCGAGGACAGGACGCAGTTCTATGCCAGCACTGCTCACGCCTATGGGAGCTCTGCAATGTCTCTCTTGAGCATGCCTTGTTCGATAGAGCACCTTGAATGAAGATGGTTCTCGTCAGAATCAGCCTGAAAGAGGAGCATGCTGCTGTCTGCGTGCTTTCCACTGGATTGTGGTTCATTCGCCGGAATGCAGCGCCTGCCTTAGGACAAGGCCCGAGCATGATTGAGCAAGTCCTTGGCATAGGAATTCCACTGAGGCTGGGACTCATCATGCAATGGTTCTTCTCAGGCTTGGCACGTCTTTGGGAGTGCGTATGCAAGCACAGCTGCAGTAAGCAGCCTCCTAAAGTATGACACTCCCTGCACAATTGCTGATAGGGATTGGGAAGATTGGACCTTGGTTTCAGCAGCTTGGAAGCATTCTGCCAACGCTTCTTGCGGGGATGCCTTGAGATTGCATTCCTAGCAGTCGCCAAGGTATGTCAACGGACCCTTCATGCTGCAGCCGGCACCCAGTTCATCCTTGTTTTTTGCAGTAATGTTCTGAATGTAAACGAGGTCAAGATGGCTGCGCGGAAGCAAATGGCTCCTGAAGTTGTTGGTCGAGTCGGAGGATAAGATGAAGCTTGTCATGCTGAGTGTCTGCTTGAATTCCACAGGTCAGCAACAGGTTGGCTCCGCAAAACTGGAGTTGTTTACACGGCCCTGAGCAGATCTGAGGGTGTGAAGGGGGAACGGGAGGAAGCTGGGCAGGATATTTTTTGGGTTTGCGGGGAGGGAAGCTCTTTTCTTCCGGACGCCTGTCGGCCAAAGACCATGGCAGATGTTAAAAAGTGTGAGAGAGGGCAGTCTGCCTTTGGTAGCTTGGCTGTGGGCGAGTTGAGAAGTTGGGAAGTTGCATAAGGACTCCCACCCTGTTCGGCACGTGCCTTGCCCACCTTGCAGCCTTCGTCGAATACTTTGCACCAATTGCTTTGATGGTTCCTTCCAATGCAGCTTCATGTCCGCAACGGAACAAATTCATTGAATAGATCTACATGGGTTTTCTGTTTGCTCTGGTAGAGCTTGTATAAGAAAAACCTCGATTCATCTGCCAAAGGCCATTTGGCTGGGCTTGATCGGCCTCACAGCAGCTTGCACATTATGAGCAGTTCGATCCGTTGGAAAACGACTGAAACTGAAGACGAAGACAGGCTTGGTTTTCCAAGGCTATGCATGTTTACATATTGCTGACGCCGGCACCTTTTGATGTATACTCCTGGAATTTATGCTTCTGCCAAGTACTTAGCTGTCTTGCGAAAACATCAATCTGTGAGAGACGCCGCTGCGGAGGCATTCTGCTGCCTAGGTCTGAGCGGCATCTACCTTTTTTACATAGGCAGCTTTGGCTTCGACTTTTCGCTGCCCGGCTGCAGACCAGGATGAACGCACTGAACATCTTAGAGAGGAGAGAATGAAAGCAAACCGACCTTAAACCCGGCTGAAGGAGCTGGACAGACATGGCGTTTTGTCTGCGGCTGTGGCTGTTCGCTGAGTCGCCCGGCTCAAGACGCGTTCGTTTCACCCCTTGCGCACGCTGTACGGTCGAGGTGTGTTGTTGACTGAGGTTCTGTTTATGCTGGTATGGGCAGTTCTTCCCAGACCAGATTGGATATTACCTTAGCCACAGGTATTGGGCTGGAAACTGGGTCCCTTGCTTGCAAGCTGGACGTTTACCTCAGCAGAGGTTGCAAAACCGCTCTCTGCTCTAGACTCTAGACCCTTGAGTGATCTTGATTGTGAGTTCGTGCCGAAGAAGAAGAGGAAAACATGATAAGGTAAATGTGACACAGGACCTGGACAAAATTCTAGAATTGTCAATGGCTTCAGTACAAGTACAAGCCGTTGCTAACGCCAGCCTACAAATTTTATCGGCAACCCACTAAGAGGCATGGGCAAGTACATGGTGGACCCCAATTTGCGCACTTGTCATGACCGCTTTGATGCAACAAAACGCAAAAGTTGCAACAGGATTCAGGTGATGACGACTCAAAAGATATCGTCTGGAGATGTTGCAGCTTCAACATTTGCATCATATCATCGTGCAGGCAAGTACTCGGGCGCAAACATGCAACGTGATAATCAGACTTGCCAAGAATTGTCGCGCCAGAGCAGGCTTCAAAAATGCTAAATGAAGTTCAAGATGTCGCAAGTCTACTTGAGTTGCCTTAGAACAAGCGCTTTGTGCATGATTTTGCATGACACATGGTGGCCGAAGCCACCGGCAAAATATCCAGAGGCTAAGCGTAAGCGGTTTGTCCCAGGCACGGTCACACCAGCGTGAGCATTCTTCCCTAGTCCTGCTTTCGTTTGTACCCGGCTTCAGGCATTTGTGATTCAGTTTCTTTGTACAGAAAACTATTGCACATCGTCACGTAGGCGATTTCAAATGTGCGCATTTTTTCAATGGTCATGTTGCGGTCGAGTGCGTTGCATATCAGTACCAATTCCCTCCGCTAAGTCAAGACAGAGTCCAATACGGCAGCCGCAAATTGAGGTCCAAACGCATTTCATGGTGCGGAAAAATCAGACGGTGAAAGACAAGCTGGACAAAGTGGATCCGCATCTTGTCATGTGTCCAAGCGTGGTAGCTGCGAGGAGGAAGATGCAGTTCACTGTGGTATGAGAATGAGCTGAGCTTGTCGGACGCCTCTGAGGCGCTTGCCCAACCCGCTGAGCCTGGAGCCAACCCCGTATTACTTGATGTGCCTGGGCTACATGCCTTTTGCATACACGTGGCTGGCAACAATGCTGCTCGGCCAAACTAAAGTTCACGGCTAAGTGGCGAGGGCTTTGTAGATTCGACCGATGCTTGCGGTGGCCTTGTGCACATGCCTTGCTTGCGGAGACCAAGGAACATGAAGTGTATCGTAAGACTTGTCGAGGACGTGCTCAACATGGGTTCCAGGACGACCGTTGACGAGTCTTGTTCAGAAGCAGACTTGAAATACCGAAGACTGCAGATGGGAATCAGAAATATGGGTATTGGGTTTTGGCCACAAGGCTGTCCCTCAAAGGCTAGGACCCCATTCATTTTGCCCGTGAACCCCAGCGCAGTTTGGTGAAGGGATCGACTTGCTCAGGATTGGGCTTTCTGTGGACTTCAAAGCCTGGCCCGCAGAACATCTTGGCATACATGAGCCGAGATTATCACTTCCAACTAGTGCTTTTTGGTTGGCATGCTCTAACCTGCACGGAAAGGCTGGCTGTGCGGAGAATTCAGAGACCAAATCTACACGCACACGATGATGCCTCTCATCCAGGAAGAGTGCAAGTTTGATGAGGCCAAAAGCAAATTGGATTGTGGCGTGAGCTGGCGTGCTAATTGTCTGGACCTGGCAGGGGGAGTGCTATTTGATCCGGCTTGGAGCCTTTCGGATGTTCCAGCATGTGGCTTGGATGCTAGAGTTGCTGGTGGCAAATTATGCTTGATAGACAGTTGGCCTTGGCAAACCAAGGAGGCAAGCTGGCAAATCTACGACGCAAAGAAGGCCGCAACTAATCGCAGAGATGCACATAGAAGATCGTCGCGGACTGGCATGTGTGATACTGAACGAACCCTGAGGGCGTGGTCAGGGAAGGCAAGCTCACCACGGAAATGATGTCAAGCATTGACAGTCGTCCATCTGCGTCTATGGAGCTACTGATGGCGTGACCTCGGCCCCTCGATCTTAGATGGGCTCTGACGAGCCTTTTCCGCGACACCCACAAGTGGTGCTCCGCAATCTGTTATCTTATCACCGCCAGCCAGCGGCAAAGAGTGGGACTGATCTACCATTGCGTTGCACTTGTGTGGCGTTTATTGCGGCAGCTTGGGATTTGCCGGAACCGTGCTAGGTTGCCGGTTGACTTCCGCAGCTTGTTTGAGCATGCTTGGTGATTTTGACAGGTAGGCTTGGCACAGCTTTGCGACCCAAAGAGTGCTGCAGAGCTGCGAGACGTGCTCGTTGCGGAGGAAGGGGTTAGGGCGGTTAGGGCTAGGGCCAGGGCACAGCGTTGACAGTGTGGGAAGCTTGCAGCCCCTAAAGCTTCTCGGCTTGTTTTCAGGACCATCTTGCACTGGCTCTGGAGCTGCCAAAGCCTTATCCTGAAAGGCGAATCTTTTTTACGTGACAGATGACGTCAGGTGCAAGCGGTGCGGTGGTGAACAGCAAATTCTGAGCAAGGACTCATCTTGAGATATCTTGAGTATGAGCTTGTTAAGCTAAGCGGTGCGTTGTGCCAAAGATGTGAGCACCAGGACAAGCCTGACCCTTCAGAGGGTTCCTGGCACATCTCTGCGGACCCCGTCAGGGAAGCCAAGGCAATCAGTTGATTCTCTTTGACACAGACAGGGAGCCTCTTGCAACAAAACCAGGCTGTGGCTCTTCAGCGTCTCCGGAGGTTTGAAGAAGCACGACAGGACCGGAGCAGATCCATGCAGCAATCCAGCTTTTGCTCGGTTAAGAAAAGTACGAGAGCTGCGAGAGTGAGCCATCAGGAGTACAGCATGACCGACGATGCTGTGCCAGCCTTGACGAATGAATCAAGCTGGTGCGATGGCGTCAGCTTGCAATTTTGTTTGGGCGTGTTTGACCCTGCCCTTTGCAGCGGAACATGTTCTTCGCACGCACGGGGCAGCTTTTGTTGATGTTGCTGCGAAGCGTCACCTTAGTCTCCCGAAACTTGAATACAATACCTGGACCTGGACACAAAACATGCGCATCAACCAGACAGCGTGAGCCAAGCGTAACTCCAGAAGAAGAAGAAGAACAGAAAGAGGAGGAAGATCAAGGGAAAACCCATGGCTTGCCTAGACATGCTGAGACAACAATCCCACACGGTCGAGAGCTTGCAAAAAACCTACAGCCAGCTTGCCCGGCCGTTTGACATGTTGCGGAGGAGAGTGCCGCTAAGAGTGAAGCCATTCGCAAATGTCTGAGGGGCGCGGTGGGGCACCACTACCCACGCCAACCTGAGTAGCCATGTAATTGACAATCTTTTTTAGCAGTCCTTTCACTGATGCGTGGAGCACCGGGAATGTTTTTTGAGATTACTACTCCTGCGTGCCGAGCACTGAAAGCTTTTTCGTGCTGGGATTGCTGGGCTGCTGGTGCGGGTTGATCAAAGAGTTCTCGAGAGGTCCCCCGGACTAGTTGCCTTCTTGCTTGGGGGGGCTGCTTCTTCAGGCCTAGAGGACACCGGGGTAAGGGAAGCAATTCTTGCTTCCCGAGGAGCACCTCTTCGGCCTGGCCCCCCCCTGGCGGCGACTAGAGCGACAGTGCCAATTCCTTCTCTTTGTCTGATCACTTCTGTGTTTGCCTCCTTCAACACTTGTGCTGCATGGTTGTCGTCCTTCTTCACAGTTCCCGCTCTACCTTCGCTTTGAGCGCGTACTTGGCCTTTGTGGTTGCGCCCTGCTGCCTCGGCGAGGGGTTCTTTTTGTCTGTGTAAGGAGCTTTTTTCTTCTGTCATAGTCTTGCTGCAGGCTGCTATGTCTTGGTGTTGCGTGTTCCTTGTGTTTAGCCGGTTGCCCCTTTTGCATTCCTGGCTGAGAGTGTGCTGGCCCCTGTGTTCCGCTGCAGGTTCATCATGCGGCCTGCCAGGCTTTAACCGCACCATGGTATGCGTGGCATTGCACGTGCACCATGTAGCGGCTACTTGGCAGCAGCGTGCACTGCACCCCCTGGCTCGGATCATTCTTCCGCTACGGTTGATATCTTTCGCCGGTCAGCGCTTCTTCTCGCTCTGCTTGAGCAGCGGTTCTCTGCCCTGCGTCCTTCTGTTGGATGGTGTGCCTTGCTGTCTTCTCAGTGGGTGGCCTCATACATGTTGAGGTTTGCTCGCCATCCCGTCTGCCCTCGCTTCTCCCAGGGGGTTGCTTGGCTTATTTGGGTCCTTCAAAGCTGTTGGTATTTTTTGCTGGGGCGCCGCTTCTTCGCGCGCTGCCTGCGCGGCGGTTATTCGCCCTGCGACCTTCTGTTTGCTTGTGTGCTTAGCAGTTCTCTTGTTTGGGCAACCTCATTGCCGCTTGCTCGCCATCTCGTCCCCAGTTTCCTCCCACGGTGTAGCTTGGATCATGTTTGTGCTTGCGCAGTTGTTGGCTTTTCCGCTGGGCGCCGCTTCTTCGCTCTTTGCTCGCGCGGCAGTTCTTCGCCCTGCGCCCTTCTGTTTGCTGGCGAGCTTCGCGGTCGTATCCTTCCGTCGCCTTTCCCTGCAGTGGGTGTGGGCGGCCGTTTTGGCGCTGCTCGCCGTTCTGTGTGTCTTTCCACATTGTGGCTTGGATCATGCTTTTGCTTGGTCTGTCTGGTGTTTCCGCTGGGCGCCGCTTCTTCGCGCTGAGCTTGCGCGGCGGTTCCTCGCCCTCCCGTCAATTTGTCGGTATGTTTGGCCATCTTCTTCTTTGTGTTTATTCCTTTCCGCCATGGGTGTGAGCGGCCTTGTTGAGGTTTGCTCTCCCTTCGGTCCCTTGTTCTCTCCCACGTAGTGGCTTACAGTGGCTTGGCCATGCTGCGCCTTTTTTTTGTGCCTTCAAAGCTGTTGGTATTGTTGCTGGGCGCCGCTTCTTTGCGCGCTGCCTGCGCGCTTTTTTTTTCCCTGCCACCTACTCCTTGCTGTCTTCTCCCGTTTGCTTTGCATCCCTTGCTCTCTACTAGCTGTGTCTCGGTTCTTGGTTGTGTTTGTGCAGTTGTTGGCGTTTCTGCTGGGCGCCACTTTTTCTCGCTCTGCTTCTGCGACGGTTCTTCGCCCTGCCCCCTCTTTTTCAGCCTATCTTTGCTGGCTATTACTCCCCCGAGTCACTGTTCGGTTCTCCTTAGCCGCCGCGGTGGTTCTCTCGCCTTGCTGGGCCGTCCAGACGTCGTTCGGGCCAGTGGGTTGAGCGGCCTCTTTGAGGTATGGCTCGCCGTTCCCGGTTCCAGCGCTGCGTCTCTTGCAGGCCAGGTTTTCATGCGCTTTGCTTTCGCTGCAATCCTCCTTCCTGTCACCTTCACTTCCGTCTGCTGCCGCGGCTACTCCGGTTCCTTCCCTTTCTCATTCTTTTCTTGGCCTGTCCTCCCTGCTCTCATATCGGCTTGCTGCCGTTCTTGGGCCTTGGCTGCATTAGCTAGATCCTCCGATTGAACTCCCCGCGGAGGAGGGCAATGACGGTTCCCGGAGCCCTCCTGAGATGCTGGGGGGGGATGCGGTTGTAAGGCAGCGGGTACTCCCGTGTGCTGTCCTCCTCTTCTCCTCCAGTATCTCCAGTTCTCGAGAGGTTGGAAAGCATTGAGCATTTTCCCGCCAAGGTGACACTCGGATCCGAGCCTCGAGCCACGGAACGGGCGCTGACGGCTTTTGAGGCCTCGGGGAAAAAGCTTCGCATTTATTTTGGAGGTTGTTCCTATTTTTTCTACAGTCTGTGAACTGTCCAGAAAGAGTTTTACTGCACCCAGCATGCAGCAGCGCGGCGAGACGGGACGTGCGCTGACCCCATAAGCAATTTCAATTCTCCTCGCATGGTATACTACCTCGCGGAGCAGCTTTATCACTGGCAGACTTCTTTCCTGCTTTCTCCTCATCTCCTCATCGTCCTGCAGTACAGCCAAGCTGTATCTTGTCATGCAACTCCCAAACACACCGTTCTGCACCCTTTGCGAAAGACTATTACACTGCGCCATCTGCGTGAATCTAGATTAATCCACGAAGGCTTCATCGACAAGGAAAGAAGACAACTTGCAGCCTTCGAAAGAACTGCAGAGAAACCATGAGAAGCTTCAATTTGTTTGCGTTGACGGAAATCCTTACCACTTTCCAGAACTGCGTTTTAGAGCCTGCACTGTTGAGAAGACTTTTCTGAGGGATTGTATCCTTGCATAATTTGTTCATCTTATGGTCGAGGGAAGATCAACGATAGGCATTCGGGCACATGTTTTGTTGGCAGGATGCCATGCGGTACCCACCGTTGTATGACCTCTCTGCGCTGGAACAGCAACGAAGCATCTACACGCCACCTAGCTGCAGCCATGAACAATGGATGTCAGTTCTGTTGCTATCAAAGTGAAGCTCTACACCCAAAGGCTTGAAACACGTTTGAGGTTTAACTCTTTACAGCGCAAATTGTACCGCCGGGCACTTGGCAGCTTGCTGGCAGCTGCCTGCATATGAAGAGAGCTCCAAGCTGCTGAGGTTCGACGGCTACTATGGCCAGCTTGACACATGAATGCACTGAGCCTTTGCTGTGTCCACCCCTTCATGTTTTCATGGTTTCTTCAACCAATCGTGGTTCGAAAGAGGAAGAGCGTGCTGAGGCCGATGTTCCAGCTTCCAGGCCCTAACCAAGCGCGAGGCACTGATGTCACTCATGCAAGTATGACACAGTGCCGGATGGTCGGTTGCATTGGGCCAGCTGAGGTCATGCAATGTGTGTATTTGCTGTCTTAACTTGCTACTTAGCTCGCAACCTCACAGCAACTCGCAAACTGGCTGCACGCACGCATATGAAGCTTACGCACTCTCGATTCTTGTCCGAAATCTGCAAGCTGCCATGAGGACTGTAAGCATCAGCAAGAACCATTCGGAGCTACCCTCTTGTCAACGATCAACTTCACCATGAAGCTATGCTAAGCCGCTAAGAGGGAGGCTTTAGAGGTTCAACTCCTTGACATAGCCAGCTCTGTCACGGAATCCCAGCCTGCATCAGAGCCCACACCGACCTGTCGGCCCATCGCTTTTAGTCGGTTTCTGTCCTCCTCGTGCGGCTGCTAACTTGTTTTCACAAGGGCTGGGTGTCACTTTGAACGGGGAGAGGGATCAGATTGGACGGAGGGGCTCAGTTTGGACAGGGGGTGTCAGATTGGGCGGGGGCAGGTGGGAGGTGTAAGCCCGATGTGTAAAGTGGACTGTTGCCCGAATGCCCTCCATCAGAGTTTGAAGCTGCTAGATGGCTTTCTAACATGAGTGGCAATTCGCAGGATGACTGAGAATATCTGAATCTGAAATATTGTTTGAATCTTTATTATGAATATTCTTGCTGGTGAGCGTACCTGTACTGCAGCGTGGGCAAAGGTCCAGTTTATTTGACATAATGTGGAAGGACTTCATGTCCCTTGCATATGCTCTCGGCGCCCATCGCTGAGCAGTTGGCGTGGCCGTCCTGCGTGAGCGTTGCTACACCTGCACAAACAGGAAACACCATTGCTGCTTTGATGTGCCCGCTCAATGGTGGCACATTTTTGGGGCATATGGCATAACATGGTATAGTACTGTGTTTTCATACACTGTACCAAATGAGTGAATCTACGGAATTATGAGATTGGTCCAACACCCCTTGCACATAGATTTTGCAGGAGATGAGCCCGGACAGATTTCCAGGGACCCTCAACAGCCCGACCCTACCCCTCTCAAGAGGGGGGGTATCCCGCAACGGTTCTTGCATGTTGTTGGTTTGCGTCAATGGATGAAGTGATGCGAGTTGGGTAGCATGCCTAGCCTGTGACAGCTTAGGCTGAGGTCTGAGGTCTCATCTTGATGTCTTACAGTTTGTTGTGGCTTCGGCCTCCAGACTGAATTCTGCCGCAAGGTTTCTCAGCTATAGTGACACAGGCTAGATGAGGCAAAACCAGCTTGCATGTTTGCACGATCGTGTGGCAAGGCCTACAAAGGCCACCGTGTTTCCAGCACAGCAGCCAGATGCAGCAAGTGTTCGGAATGTGCCCCTGCTTGTACATTTTTCTCTTGGCTGACTTTTGGTATGACGTTGCGGAGCCTTATAGCTCCCTGCATGTTCTGTTCATGGTCCCGTGTGCACATTTCAACAGCCAGAAGCTGGCAATGCTTTGACTCGATTTCTGGCTCGGCTCCCACACGGCCCACAGGTCTCCCAAACTGTGCGAAAGATGACGCATGCTTTTTGTCTCTAGCACTAGCACGCCTTGACTTGCGCACATCTCGAGCTTGAACGTGCGAAACCAGCAGCAGCAGTCTCCTCACAACAGTATCCAGATGCTGGCAGCAGTTGATCTAACAGCTACTGATCTCCAGTCCACGGTAGTGGTGCGGCGCCAACGACTCACACATAGCCTCACATTTATGTGCCAGGCAGACAGCAGGCTTGCGAAGAGGAGGCAAAACCACTTGCGCACCCCTGGGTCACAGCAGGGTACAAATGGATTGGCTGTCATGGCAGGTGCCGATCGTTCCAATCAGCAAGCCTCCGGACAAATGGATGCGGCATCAAGGTGCGCAAGTGGAGATCAGTCTGCCAGTCTTTCTACCTTCGCTAGACGGTGATTCCGAGGGCAATGTTTGAGAGCAGGATCTGGCGGATTGCAGCCTGTGATGGGCAGCGACAGGATCTCCGGATGCATGCGCGCGCACATAGCTGGGGCAAGTATTGCGCGATATTGCGCGCATTGCACATGCCAGAACTGCAGGACAATGGACCCCACGGGAGAGGGGTGTGATCTCGAAGGACAGCGAAAATCCCCGATGTTCCGTGATAGATGGTTGAGTCCTACCTTCTTCAAGCTTGCAGGAAACACAGCAGCTGCCAAGGCCTGGAACATCAGTGGCGCATCAGTTAGTGAAATGCGCAATGATACTTGATTGAAATAGCCAGGCAGCCATGCAGCTCACAGCACTGGAGGCTGGAATGGAAGTGCATCAGTGTGGTGTGCAGTATGAGTTGCACGATGAGCTTGCCAGTGTTAGTGATGCTCACAGTTGGGAGGACCGCCTGCAAGATGCCGTGCAGAACATGCGCCAGCGCAGCAGGCTGCTGGTCGAGTTGACATTATGCAGCTCAAAGCTCGAAATGACGGTTGCCCAAGGCTAAGGCGTGGTCATGAAGCTGTCTGCAATAGATCGTCGATCAGCGAGTTTCAGGCAGTGCGATTTTCCCCATAGTTTGCAATAACAGCCGTCTATGGCGTTCCACAAGATGCTGTTGATGTTTGGGCAGAGATGCGGATGGGTGCCGCATCTCCTGTTACTTGTAGTAGTATGTCATCACAATCTGCAGAGCGCATGGTGCTGTCGTGGCTTCCTGTGGAGGAGACTACTCTGGCAAATGCAGTCACCTTCCTAACTCCACCCATCCATCCGGTGGCCTTGAACTTATATCAGCGAAGAGTGCTGCCTTAGGTAAATCCAAGCAACTCCTGGTGAGGAAATGTCACGGTGGTCGACTTTAACTGACATGGTCACCCTGCGGAAAACGACGAAGGCTTTGTCATGGCTGTAGCCTGCCCTGTGAATCGATGCTAAACAGTTTTTCAGGCCAGACACACAATCAAGATGGATGCGATGAGTCTTTCGGGAGAGACCGTGACACCCCAAGCAGCCAGCGCGAGGGTGGTTCCTCAGACAAGTTTTGCCAGATTGCATCAGGCGCTGGAAGAGCCGAAGCCGTTGGGAGGACCGCATTTCAAGCGCGAATGATGCTTTGCAGTTGTAGTCACGTGGGAGGCCCGGTAATGCAGTCTGAAGACAAGAGGGAGAACAACAAGGCAGGCTACAAAAGGAACCACTGATCCAAGACAAATCTCAAAGAACAGAAGCTCTGCAGGACAGGCCGGATGAGCCTCCAGCTGCTGAAGCTGACCAGGCCTTGCAGCTTGCAATGCCCTTCTGATGGTCGGACTGCTTACAGCTGCCCAGTGAGTGGATACACAACGAGCCCTGCAGCTAGTTTGCAACAGGCTTGCGACCCGGTCTTTGAAGAGGCCTGGTTGAAGTGAAGGCAACGTGTTATACTTGTGTACGCAGCCACGAGACAGGAGGAGGAAGCAAATGTGGCGCCAGATGTCAGCTATGACAAGCTCACCATGGACCGGGCCATGTGCAATGTGCTGATGACTGGAAACAGACGGCTGGCATGCAGGACATGTCCAGCATTTGCTGCGGCTGTTCAGCCTCTCAAAACTTGCGCAGTCCGCATTGTGCTTAGTTCTAAGATATGTTACCCAATATTATAGCACTGATATGCATTGGTCTGCAAGTACCGTAGAAGACTGTACTCAGGAGCAACCTGTGGCCAGAGGATCGTCAGACCCACAGCATCATGCCGGCCAGCCCCATGGCTCATGCCTCGGGAGCGGCTCTTGTGCAAATGCTTGGCCGTTGTTGCGTTTTGCATTGCGATCAGGCCCTGCCTTCGGCAGCACCTCTCTTCTGTGCCTTCAGCTCCTCTTCTGGGCGGCAACTTGGACTGCTACAGGATGCTTGTAACTGCCCCGTTATAGGGTTCTGTGTCAGAACTCGGCCCTCCCGTTTCAGGATAAATGTGTAGACTGTGGCATCTCAGCAGATGGCAGAAGGAGGCCACAAAGCTCATTGCTAGTGCGTTGATGAAGGTGTGCTGCTTGAGATCCTTCAGGGGCTCAAAAGTGGCAACCCCTCGAAGCGGACATGCAGCTAGCACGGTCTAAAGTATGGGGCATGTCTGAGGTTGAGCACGGCGTCCTTCTACGAGCTACTTTGCTTCCAGGTCAACGAATGGGTATTTGGAAGGCTGTCCCGCTGACTGTGAATCACGGCCCCGTAGATCAGGAGAAGTACGGATCGGCCGAGTCACTCATCTCCCTACTTGTCCGCGAGCGCCGACTCGCACAGGCAAGAGGCTGTTTGGTCTACGTCTTGTTGTCTTCATTATTCCAACAAATGCCTTGAGGCGTGTCAGTACATCTTCAATGAGAAAGCGGACAAGCGCCTGTGGCGGCCTCAACCTCTTCTGATGATGCTGTGGGCACAGGACTCGACTCCAGGTTTGTGGATGTTGTGGCGCATCACTGCTTGGCGCACAACCAGTTCCATGAGTTACAAAAGGCAGAATTGCTTGTCGTAATGTTGGAAGCATTTAGGTGATCTAGCCCAGCACAGGTGATCCTGGACTTCGACCCCTCGCTGCAGAAGGTGCAAGAGTATCTCAACTCCGTCAAGGAGCCTTTGCTCGCCTGCTGTGCGTCGGGAGAACCTTGGCCTGTGTCAAAATTTCAGGACTTCCTGCGAGACAGGCGTGCTCTAGACCTGCTTTACTCCTACGAGGCGGGAATGCTCAGCATCAAACTTCTGAGAGCCTCAGCCACAAAGCGGCGAACTGCTTGTAAGTGATTTGAAGGTCTTCACCAAGAACTTTGTCAACGCGGGTTTCCTTGCAATATCGCCTGGGCTCAAGCTCCCTTTCTCCGCTGCAAAAGTCCTCCCTAGGATGGCAAAGGAGAGGCGGCTTATGGTTAAGCTTGGAGGGACTTTGGGCTAGCCCGCCAAATTGTCTGTATTGCCTCGTTTCTGCTGGCGAGCTGGAGCTTCATACCGCGCATTTGGGTCCTGGGATTGCTGCAAATTATGGAGCCTTTGGTCCGGAAGAGCTGTCTAATTTTGTCCATATCCTGGAGAGATCTGCAGGTGTTCTGCTGATCGAAGTGATCACGGGTTTCAAAGCTGTGTGAAGGAGAATCATGATGATCTAGCTTGGGTCTGTAGTTTGGGTGTCTTAGCAGATCCTCACGCGCAAGCTTGACTTTGATGATGCACTGATGGAGCTTCATTTTGGTGCTATGATCCTTTAAAACAAAGCCTATTTCAATATGGATTGATTTTCGGTCCCTTCCAGCCTGGGTGCACCTCTCCCCGAGGCTCTTCGTGCAGTCATCCACCTGGGATGCGCGAGCCAAATCCTGAGCCACCGCTCATTGCAGTAGACAGTCAGTAGAACTATATAGAGCTGTCTGCAAAGTTGCAGAGCTGTTTATTGTACCGGCCAGCCATTAGCTGGGGCAGACTTGCAGCACACTTGAAAATTTGGAATCACTCAGCTTCAAAAGGGATTTGAAACGAGTATCTCAAAGGCAAAAAAGCTGAAGCATGCCATAGACAGTTGAGTAGGGAGTGGGAAGTTCAAAATGCCTCCACTTACATCATCTTCTCGTTGGTTCTCATTCAGGTGGGGCACCTTCAGAATGCCGAAGCTCACCTTGGCTTCGCCCGAAGGCTGAGTCGAAGGCGCCAAATTGTCCGCGAAACACCACAAAGTGCGACTTCAAAGCGGCTTGCCTAAAAAAGGAAATTGCCCTTTTGCCCTTCCCTGTGCGAGGAAAGGCGAAGGGAAAGAAGGCGCGACGCTCAGTTGGCCAATGCCAGTGCCGCCTCATTGCCACAGGTATCTGAGCATTTCAGAATCGTTTGCGCTCAGGAAGCGCTGACGGAGTTTCTGAGGGGTCTTTGGCCACTACAACACAGGACGCTGTGGCCGGGTCCAGGGCTTAGGCGTGCCACTCGAACTTGGAATTGGCAAATGGGTGAGAAGAGGTCTGGAGACGCAGCCGGCACACTTGAAGCAAGCAAAGTGGGGATTGTGCTGGACTTAGTCTAGCTGACTTGGAATTTGAAGAACGCTGGCGACCTAGAAGTGATTTGAAGGCGGACATCAAGAGGAACTTGGAGACTGTGCGGATCCAACGTGCTGTCTGCGAGGCCTTGTGCGCTTGGTCTACTTTGCATTGTTATTACGAGCGGGGTAGAGGGATTATGACCTCAGTACGGCGCCCCGATGCTAGGCAATGCCTACGAACATGCCGCAGAATGCCGTGCTCTTTGGGGACTTGCCAGCCCAGTGTGAGGCAATTGCGGGGCTAATGCTTCTCATGCCTGTCCAGTGCTGCTATTATTGACCCTTTGCAACTTCAAGGGTCTATGTGCTTCAGAGGCTTACAGGGTGCAGGGCGTATATGCAGGGATTCGATTGGACGTTGTGGTGCCTGAGCTCAGTCCAAGGCATGCTAAAAAAGGAGATTTCGAGACTGGGTGGCATCTCTGCTGAAGATCATATGAGCCACAGTCAATACTCGTTTGTAAGGAGTTACGTCAGTGTTTCAATGTTTTGGAGGGTCCTTCTGGGCCTTCAAGACGCTGGACATGCATTGCGAGGTTCAGGCTTAGCCCGCAAGATTTAGGCTCCAAGGCTTGAGATTTCGTGTTCCAAGGTTTTCAAGCTTCAAGACTTAGAACATCTTGGAACTTTTGGGATGTGATGTTAATTTGCTGAAGCTGCAAGATGCTGCAAGATGCTGCAAGTATCAGATCATCACAGTTTACAGATGCTCATTCGAATCGGCTGAGGGTCTTGGGGTGGTTTGGGAGCAGACTCAGCCGATGCTTTTGCTGTGTAGGGTTTGGGGCCTGGCAGTGTTCTGGGATGTGTAATGGTGGTTTCGGATTTAGGGCTGCTTTGTAATTGGTGTTGGGGCTGTTTAGGGTGGTGTAGGCTTTGGGTTGTTTAGGGTTGTCTTGGAGTTGGGGTTTGGCGTTGTTTAGAGCATAGGTTTGTTTAGGGTGGGTGTCGGGTTTTGTCGGGTTTTGGCCTTATGATAGGGTTGAGCTGCGGAGCCTGGGGCTGTTGAGGGGTTCCTGCCTGGGTTGTTCAGGTACAGGGTGTGGGGCTGGCTAGACATTACGCTTTTGGGCTGTTTTCGGCTCCAGTTTTGGATTTTAAGTGTGGTTTAGAGTCAAGGTTTGTGGTTGGGGCTTGTGGATGTGTGGGGTTTCTTGGGGTCGTGTAGGGTGGGTGTTTTTTGATCCCGTTGTCATCTTTTGACCTGACGTCTGTAAGCCAGTGATCGGATACAAGGGATGCGACTCCCTGTGCCTGCGATCTGACTTGCGGCGGAACGTAGGTTTGTGGCGGATTCTGTTCGTACAACTGCACAATGAGAAACAGTGAGCTGATACAGGGGCCTGCTGTTTTTGAAGAAGATTGGGATTAATGGATGGCTTGTGGAGGTCAACACCGTTGGCTCTGACAAGCAAATTGATAAAGTTACGAACTACGTAAGTGCAGGGTTCGGTCTGAGCTGACTTGACCAGGTCGCTGAGCTCTTAATGGTCAACGGGCACTTCAAGCTGGCGCTGAAGGCATCCATGGACATTGAACTTCATCTCAGCCTTTCACTGGCTTCGATGCTGGCCGAGGTGATTGAGTTTCTTGACTTGCCTGCAGTCGAGCTCTGCATTCGGGCGTGGATGTGCTCAGGAACAAGACCTTGGAGATACAGCATCCAGCAATGTCGAGCGGATAGCTTTGCAACAGACGGTCTCGCAAGGTCAAACCAAATCGCTACGCAGCAGGCGCGCTGCCCGACGGGCTCTATCGCACCAGCGAGGGGCACAGATGACCCGCACACTTTCAAGCCGATAATGTAGCAGAGTCTTCTGGAGCGACAAGTCCAAGCTCAGGTGGTGAAATTCTTGGAGGCCGTGATGTCAAGATTTTACATCGAGCTAGATGTGAGCTAAACCTCCACATGTCCATGGATTCCTGGGAGGCCATTCCCAAGCTACCGCCCGTGGAATGGGTGCTTGGCCTGAGAGCATGCTGGGATGTGCTGGCTGCACTCAAAGCTGAGATCAGGACAGCTTGGTCTCAAACGTTGTGAACATTTGGATCATTGAGAAGGACCTCATAACAACAGTGGAAAGGAAGTAGGTCCTGGTCCTTGACAGGAAGAGCTAAAGGCTGATCGGTCCGCTGCTTCGCAGCTGGTTCCGTACATTCAAGACGAGAGGCCCATGCTCAAGGAATGAAGAGCTTTGCAGGTCAAAGTTTGAGGCAGAGCAGCTTGCGAGCTGCAAAGGTGCAAGATGGATGCCTTGATCCTTATCGGCAACCTGAGCAGCGCCTTCCAGATCGCTCAAAGGCCTTCAACGCATACCAGAGTTTCTTGAACTGCTTCGTACTGGCAAAGCTTTTTGCTTCAACAACCACTGGCAAGTTCCTTGAAAGCGGTTGCTTAGGGCTCTTGAAAGTGGCATCTCTGTCACAAGCCCAGTACCTCTCGCAATGCAAAAAATGAGGGATGAGCATAAGTGGTCCCAAAGTCCGGGATCCTGTTGTCTCAGGCGGACTCAGCGCGCAGATGAAAATCTCGCCATGACATGTTTTTGTTGGACGTAGAAAGCTTGAACAAACTGCTCACTTTTTTCAAGGGTTCCACAAGTATCACTCGCCATGACTAACACTTCCAGAAGTTCAAAAATGAATGCCATGGCAGGCTGGGCAGCATGCAGGACGTGCTGCACATCAACTCACGCGCTCAGGCCACGGGCGATCAGGACCTCGAAGCTGCACAAAATTCTTCAGCGACTGCTGAATAAACATAGGAGCTGTTGAAGCAGATTGCCACCTTCATGGCCTACAACCCCATTGCCAAAAAAAGGCGTGATGCTGCAGCAAGCTCTAAATCGTCCTAGCCTTCCACCAAACATGAAGCCACCAAGCCGAGCCAGGTCATGAAAAGATTCGCTTCTCAATGATGACGTCTGGCTAGAGAAGCTGGAGGGCCTATTGCAGCGCCGCAGCCGTGTCACGCTTTTGACTTTTGGTGTTGCTGGGGAGATGAACTACTCAAGGCAGCTTGACGGGCAAGTTCGGCGACGAACCTCTTGGCTTCCTCCAGACCAGCTCCATGGATGCTGCCAAAGCTGTCTAAGCTCACCGAGCAACCCGTGAAGATCCAGGCTGCTTCAAGACTAAACGGCGTCTCGATCATGAAGATGAAGCTAAAAGCTTGGTGTGGCAGTAGCAGTACCCTGTCACGGTGTACGAGATGTGTCTGCTAACGTTTCACAATGGATTCCCAACCCACAGACATCGATACATGGCCAAAGTGCCAACCGCAAATGGTTTGAAAAGGGCCAGCTTGTGTGTCTTTGCCAAAGACCGCTCTACTGCTGACTGAAGCGCAGGTGGCCATTTGGTGTGTGGACTTAGTTGTGGACGATTGCATGGTCTATCAGATTGACCATGACATGTGCAACTCTTCATCGGGCTGGTCCCGTGGCGACAAGACCATCTTCACAAAAGCTGCTGCCATCTGGGAGAGGAACGAAACAAAGGCTGCTGCTGGCCATCATCTCTGCGGTGCTGCAAACCAAGCAGTAGCGCTCCTACCTCTGCAGCGTCATCGCATCCACGTGGTCTCCCATCCATGGCTTGGCGCGTTTCTGCACAGCATGGTCAGGTCTGCTTGCAAAGGCGAAGTGTTCCGTGAAAGTCTTCGAGGGCGTGCATGAAAGCTTCAAAGCTGCATTGCCAAGTTGGTGGTGCGTGTTGTTTCGTTTCAGTCTTGGACTTGCCAACTCAAAAGGAGTGAAATTAGCTGACTTGACAGAACATGTGTATCGGTGACTCCAAAGGCCAGAATCAAACCAACGCAGACTGCCATTGCAACGCCTGATAAGGCAGCTGCCGATTCATAATGATGTGCTATCTGTCTTAGATATCTTGTATCAACCGGTGACAGCATATTAGGTACACGTCCTCATGCGGCGGACCCCGCCCTGAAGAAGTAGAAGTACAGGTTACAGGTTGCTTTACCAATATGCCCCGCTTGGAGAGCTTCAGCTCAAGCACTGTAATGCTAAGTAAGACTCAATCTGCTGACCAGAGGCACATGAAAGAAGCAGATTATGTTAATTCGCTGCCTCAAGAGACTTGTCATCAAGTATTGGCATGAAAGTCAGCAAAAGCCTCTCTTCGAAAACCGTCTACCATACTAATTGTTGATTGCATTCCAGACGAGCAGATCTCAAAGCAATCTGGAGCCTCATGAAGCCCTCTTGTATTCTTTTACGAAACACTGTCAAAGCCATACATTGAAGCTGTACAGAATGCAGTTCGCTGCTTGCTTGCCGGTGCCTTCGACACTTTCGTCTGGCTTGAAGAGACTGCCTTTGTCGGCGACAGAAGGTCCCGACTTGGAATCACCCAGGCATGTCTTCACCCAAAGGTGCTCTAAGCCAATTTGCGCACTTTCACTCAGCCTGGCGGTTCTTTGCAGAAGCCGTTCGCGCACATCTCTGCGAATCTCGAGGCGGGATGTCATTAGTACCGGACTGGTGTGGTCGTATGGTGCGAAGTGTGCGGCAGCCAAAGAAGCTGCTGCAGCTCGCACAGCTCCAGAAGTTGCGAAGGCGCTTTGGGCTGGTGGCCTTAGCAGCGGTGAGGACTTAGATGCTTGGGTGGCAGCTTTCGCTGCGGATTGCGTGTACGAAGACCTATACTATGAGAAGCCTGCTACGGGTCGTATTGAATTACGAAACTTGCTCCGCGACAAGCTTCTGCCAAAGGGGGCACGCATGATCCTTGACCACGTATCAGATGGCCAATCCTCCTGTGGCTTCACGTGGCATATCCAGCAAGATGGCGTGGGAACAGGCCAGCGAGGCCTCTGCTTCCTGCGCTTAAACAAAAGTGGTGAGGTTTCTTATGTACGTGAGGTTGGTGAACCCTTGTTCAAGGCTGGCGTGCTGACTGAGCAGCTCTTGCAAGCCTTGACAAAAGACCAACCTATCAGCAAAGCTCGTAGCTCCAGTGCAACCAAGCTGCAGACACCACGTACAGCTGGAGGCATAGTGAAGTATCTTTACGGTGACGTTCAACAGACTGGTGGCGATGCTGTCCGTTTCTACGCAGAGGATGTTGTCTACGAGGACATGAACTATGACACACCCTTCGAGGGTAAGGTTGCCATTGAAGGGTTCCTCAACCGATTCCAAAACATTCAAGGCGTCACCTTTGTGCTGGAGGAGGTCTCTGATGGAGACAAGGCAGGCATTCTTTGTGTCTTTAGATGGTGTTGGGTTGAGTTGTGGCGTGCCCACCGTATCAGCAATCGCACAAGGTGTTTTGATGTAATGCGTCCGGCTGGAGGCTGTGGGCTTCACGTATCATATCGACGTGGCAGGGCAGTTCCGTCCTTACTGCTTTAGACCTTGTTCGTTCGCAGCTTGACGGGATGGGGCCTTGCTGTTGCGCAACAGGCCGCGAGGCATCCGGGGCGTCACCTTCTATGAAGTGGATGATCAGGGCAAGGCCCGAACGCGACGTCAATGCGGTTTACATGCTGCCAGGTGAATTGATGCAGGTCAAATATGTGCGAGACGTTCCAGAATCTGCAACCAAGCCACCGCCAGTTCAGCAGGCCAGGCTGCCGACGGACGACAAGCTAAACTTTTGATATCTTGTAATGTTTCTTGCATATGCTTGAGATCAATGTGTTGGCCCAATGAGGCATCACCTGTGAAGGGGAGAGGCTTCAAGCATTTCGATAGACTCGGATGTCCACATGAAGTCATACACGTGCGCTGCCGCGTGCAATCTCAGCAACAGACGCGATACAGTACACCCGAGCACATTTTTTATTAGTCAAGCAATGTTGTAAGACCATGACAGCCGAGAGTGGGATCCCACGCAGATTCTTTGACGCAGCCTGGCATGTCGTTTGTCTGAGGATATGCCGGGCGTGGGGTGTGCTTCAATGTGTTTTATAGTTAAGGAGATCTCCTTGTGCAGCAGCTCCTGGAAGAGCGCCGGCAGCGGCTGCAACAGAAGCTCTTCGGTTCAGATGCTCCAGGCACAGGTCCACCTGTTTCAATGAAGCTGTCTATGCTAATTCGCTCATCTCGACATAAAATATGATGCCCAAGCTTTGCTTGACCAGGCTGCCAAGACTTCGCAGCGGTCTTGTCCTCCAAGCAAGATGAGATGCCTAGCAAGCCATGCTCACAACGTGGTGACCAACCACCTAGGCAGGGCTAAGATAGCTTGCGCTATCCGTCTGTTTCTTTCCTGGCCCACAGTGGTGCGTCCTGCCATGCAGCCCCTTGCAGTCCGAAGTATGACAGCACATCTCCAGATAGAGATGTTGTGGAAGCGAGAGCTTCTTGACAATTTTTCAGGAATTTTGTGGAAGCCTGTTCGCCTCATTTTGGTGCACTGGGCCATCGGGCACTCAAACTGGGATTGCTGCATGGTTTGTAACTAAGGACAGCTTCCTTTCTGACTTTCTATGCCACCTAACGGTGGCAGAAAATGGGAAGGCAAGCTTCGAGCGTGCTGCCCTCAGAAAGGCCCAGTCCAATCGACTGTACCATCAATGATCCTGCAGCTGCCATTCTGCCTTGAGGTCAGGAGCCTTGGAGCAAAGCAGAACCTGCTGAACCATCATTGAGGTGGTCAGAGACAATCATCAGCTCGTTCTTCTTCATGCATTGCTCGCGATGCTGTCTAGTGCACAGGCCAAGGTCTGCGCCACAGAAGTCTGCAGCAAAGGCGAGGTTCAGTTTCCACATGGCGCATTAGAAGCTGTGCCTCTGCGTGACATGCGCTCCCTCAGGCCCGTCCAAGCCAGCCTGAGAGTCTGGGCAGAAGACATGATCTTCGAGACATCAGTTCCAGGATTTCCAGGATTCGAGGCCCTAGGCATTTCTAGGCGTGCAGCGCTTGATAGCCTGGCTGAGGGGGCGGATCCCAAGGGCAGTCTCCCACTTTTTCTTGTAAGCTGACGCCTGCAAGCAGCTGAACGCTGCTTGTGACGATGGGGAAGCATGGGGATCACCAGGCACGCTAGAGGACGTTGACCTAAGGAGCAGCGTTACACATGAAGGCCAACCAGAAGCAAGGTCAAGGCGAAGGACAGTGGGGACAAGAGGACAGACGCCAAGCAGGAATAGATAATGGTGCACAGCTGGGAAGCGCTACAAAGTCTGTAGAAAGATGCAGTTTTTGTTGCAATGGTACGCGAGCGAAGCTCACCAAGGCCAGCATTTGAACAAAGACTGCAAAAGTGGCAGCTGCAGCACCAGGCAAAGCTGCCACGCGTGCGTTCTTGCTTTGCTTAGGTATTTGCCAAGACTTTAGCTGATAGCCGCCATCGTGAGTCCATCTAGGATTGCCCGTCATCAATAGGATTGGCAGCTGTTTGGAGCTGACAGTCGACCACGCCAGGCATCGAAGCAGAAGCACATGCAGGCTCGGCAGGAAAAAGAGATGCAGGAGCTGGATGAATGCACTTTCCAGCGGCTCGGCTATACCGTGGCTATACCCATCCCTGATGTTGGTGAAGCTGAGAAAGCCTTGGCCCATCTAGGCCATCAATCAACACGCGCTCCGAGCAACGTGGATGAATTTGGAGACATTCGGCTGCCAGTCTGTCAGTGAAGAGCTTCTGCTGACAGCTGGTGCACCTAACACGTAAAGAGGCACAGCACCCAAAGCTGTTGCGCTGTTTGAGGCGTGTGACAGTATAACACCAGACCAACTTTCGTTTTTTGTGCGTGTTTGGCATCTCCCCCGCGATGCAAGCCAAGGTACTATGCTAGACGGTCCCGCAGCTGCATGGTTGAATCTCTGCCAGAGCGATTGTTCCACGAGGCAGCAATATTACATGGTATGCTTCAGCTAGGCGACAATGATTTCCGTGACAATTTGACTGCAATTCCTGCAGAATGGATCTGAAGTTTTTTTGCACAACTTCCTGCAATGCAGGCTGACAAGAGGGCTAGCTTGAGAAACAAGGCCAAGGAGCCGAACAAGTTGTCGGATGCATGTGCAGAACGAGTCTACAAGCGACAGCTCCATAGCAGCAGTGCAGGAGCTCATGGAAGCAGACACACTGTGTGCCTACAGTTTCCAGCCCAGCATCAACCCGAGCAGCAAAGGCTGCGTGCAACTATCCACAGCCCAAGATCGATTTGACATGCATTTTGAGAAAACCCGCTGGATTCAGGCGCTAATCGAGCACCACTACATCTCCGTGCAGAGGAGCTACGCCAAAGACGTGAGCAAAGAGCCCCTGGGACGCGATGGCCTTCCCGTTTCTGTGCAAGCGGCTGGCTTGCTACAGCAAACAGTTTACCTGTGCGATCAGTCTTGAAGGTGCGGAGTGCACAAGTCGCTGAAGATAGACGCGACCAACTCAGTTCTAAACCTGTCTGTGCGACTGGCAGTTCCGAACTTGATATATCGCAGTACATCGTAGTCAATGCAGAGGTGCTGAAACCCTTTTTCAGCCAAAGATCTCCAACCGCAGCGAGCGGATTGTTCAGAAGAAGCGCGACATGCTGTACAGGCATCAGCCCCCTTACTTGCATCAAGAGCCGAATTGTCCTGCGTCTGATGGCTTGCAGGTGCGCTTCACAGGGCCGAGTCGATTGTCTTAGGCAGCTGGGTCCTGTCGAGGAGCGGCTTTATGCAGAGGCAGGACCGCGTACAGACATGGACGGACCAACATACAGCTCGAAGTGACAACTGCCTGATGGCGCAGAATCTTCCATTGAACTGCTAAATGCCTGTGACAAGTATCCAGGCACAGGAAAAAGAGCAGCGACGTGCGGCACTCCAGGCTTCGAACCGGAAGAAATGTGGAAGCACCATTCATGTTAGCATGTGCTTGGTTTCAATGCTGACCTGCTGAGCTTGAGTGCCAGGACTTTCACCATGATTCCCTGCAATCCTTCCCAGGCGTTGATGACACATCAAGGACATTGTGATTGCACAATTGAACTTCACGGCTTTTGCTTACGGTGAGCTGGCGCATTGCCAAGTCGTGTGCTCCGCAAGCGACAAAATTCAAATAAGGAAAGATGCTATCCACAAGTAGGGCGCCGGGCATTGCGCGGCACTGTGTGCCCGACCACCCTCAACGATCTCAACGCGTCAAGTTGCTCAAAAAGCCCCCATTTTCGCACATGCAGGCACTGCTGCTGAGGCCAGGCCATATCCACCAGAATTGTTAGCAGTCCACCAGGTGTGCCGTCTGGGGCAATTACAATGGTCCGATAGTATAGTTTTCTCAAGCGTCATTGTTCCCGAGCTAGCCAAGCAAGATGCACGCTAACGTACTGCGCCGCATCATGCAGGTAGTCTGGTGAGATAAAGCTGCAATCCTGGTGATGTATTACCAGGTGCGAAAGAAATTCCCCGCCACGAACCTCATAGCAAAGTCACAGCAAGCTGGGCACCGCTTTTACCTCGCGGTGTAGCAACAACTGAACAAATCGAGCAAACTCCCAAGCCCTCAACCAAATCTTGACAGCCTCGATACAGTCTGAACATGTCAAAGACAGGAAACTGTGTGAATGACGGAGCGTTTAGATTCATAACTTTCACGGCGTGCTTAGATGAAGTGTTGAAGCACCGATCATATGGATCTTTAATTTGTAGGCCATGAAAGGGGATTGCTGCTCATGAATGTCCAAGCACAATGTGGCTTGCTTCTGGGCCTTACACTCATGGATTAGGCAGCGCCAAATGCAGAGGCTATCTGAGTTCCTAGCATACTGGGAAGTTGCCATCGATGAATGTCAAATGTTGCTCAAGAATATCAAGATTCTGCAAGACTACACACAAGAAGGGTTGTACGTTCGATATCAGCTCATCCAGGGTGGGGTCTTCAGACCCTGCGCCAAATCTGTTTGCACCGCAACACTTGAAGAGGCCGCAACCTACCCTGCTGCCCCCGCAAAACAACGGGATGCTGTGCAGGGGGAAGCAGCAGAGGATGTGATTTTTTCGCGAGTGCTGCAAGCTGCACTTTGTTTTCAGCCTTGCGAGGATGGTATAGGGATGTCAGGCTGAGCCGCAAAGGGTGTGCATAGGAAAGTGGCCTTGGGGTCTGGATTTCAAACACACATGTGAGGAATCGACCTTGGATTCCTGTAATCCAGACTTCCCAAGAAGGTCTGAATTGCCTATGCTCAAGGCAGTGACCCTTTCAGCTGAGGGTGTAATTCAACATGGAACGGACAAAGCAAATGCGTCAAAATCCACACAATTTGCACGGACAGACGCCTGGGTGAGCCTTCAGGCTGCCTGGCAAAACCATGCTGTTTCCATGACGCACGCATTTCCCAGGAGGATTTGCAAATATTCCGTCTACTTCCAGGGCCCTCAGCAGGACTCCACAGCAGCTTCAATTATCTTTCGAGTGCGGCTTGCTCCCAGTGAGCTGTTGCTGTAGAGACTGCAGGATTTCCTTGCAAGACAACAAGCCTTCGAGCTTGCAAAGCAAAAGAGACTGGAGGCCATATCGATGTTTCTGCTTGCTCCAAGCAAGGAAGCAGTGATAGAATACGGTACGAGCTGCGCAGGTTAGAGCACAGCACGCTGATAGCGACTGCTGTTTCCACCCGAGCATCACTGAAACCAGCAGACAATTAGCTCCTGGCACGCAAATTAGAACTTTGGGTTGCCAGACGCTCATCTCGTTCATCAAGTGAGGTCTCAAGGAATCTGGACCTTCTCGGGGAGACCATGGAGGAGCGGATTCACCGCGCCTCGCCCGCGGCAAAAGAGGAGATGTAGATGAAGAGCAGCTTCTGCCAAGGCCTCGCAATTCGCGATGCGGAGCGCCGTGAGCAGACTCGCGCTGAGCTGGAGCAGCTACACCACAAGGAAGCTCCGCACCCACTAGTTGACTCGGTGACAGTGAAGACAGATCAAAGTCAGTTTTTAGGTTGCCGTTTTCTGCATCTAAAGACATTGCGCGCTGGCCGCTCTATGCGCTGAGGGAATGCATACTCGCCAAGTGGCAACCACAGAAAGTGTTGTGATGCAGCAGATCTTCCTTGCACGGCTTCACCGAGCCACGATCGATCACAGCCAGCGAAGCTTCGCCATTGTCCACACGCAATGTGAACTTGTTATCATTCGTTTCAAGCATATCTTGCCATGGGCCCTGTTGATTGCCCGCCGCATCGTAACAGTACTCGTCGCTCTGAGCCTATGGCGTCAGAGCTCCGGTGGGGAATGACAAAGCTGCATTCCGCGGTTTTCGTTGGCACGAAAGGGGCCTTTGTTGTACGTCTTGTCACTCGCGGCTTTGATGCTTTCTCAGTTCAATTTCAAAGGGGCAGAGGTGCTGACACAAGCCTTGTTCCCTAGGCAAGAACATCACGAGTGCAGATGGCTCGTCTTGCTAAGACGCCACTGTGATATTCAACATTCGCGGTTCCATGACCTCAGACTTTTACTTACATGCCGCTGCTGTTTCGTTGTTGTGGGTGGCGATGTGTTGTGGCCGGCCAAGCAATGTTAAGGCTCCGAGAGTCACAATATTGAGCTCTAGATGCTCAAGCAACGTCACTGCTCGAAGAGGTTTCTGCAACGCCACAGGGTGCAATTCCAAGGTTCCGACTGCTTGCTTCCTTCAGAATAAGCCTCGGCAAGAACCTAAACCTGGTTTTGAGCGCTTGTAGTATCATGTAGTACCTGCCAACCCCCGTCCAGACACTGATAGACTCTCTCAGCTTATGCGAGCCTGATGCCTGCCGTAACCATGCTAAATCATTCTTAATTGATCCTTTTGCACGTGGGGAGGACTGCACCTTCAAGCCACAAATTAACGCTGTCTCCGAGATGCTGGCTGCTTGTCTGCGAGTTCAGCAACGGTATTCTACACAATGATATTTTGTCATCGGTGGGAACATGTCCAGCATACCACCGCAAAAGAACTGCGCACACCCCCATGAGGCCTATGCCTATGCTTGCTGCATGTGCTCTGGGTATTCGCTCCCGCGCAGGCATCAACCTCCACGGGCAAGGCTGATGCGTTTCAGCTTAATTTGAGTGGCCTATCCTGACATCTTCTCAGCCTGGTAGTGATTCTGTTCTCCAGCTTTCCACTGAGGACTCTGGTCCACACGAGCGCCTCTATCGCTCGGCTTTGTCGAAGAGCGCTGCAAGCGAAGAGTGGCAGCCCGAAGAGAGCTTCAGGAGCGAAACAGCTACAAGTATCTACAAGTGGGAAGTGATGCATGTAGCATGTGGCGACCCCTGAGAAATTGTACTTGTGCATGCAGGCCACGACTGGATCCACGCAGCTCAAGGCGCTTTTCGCACATCAAGTCCCGCTATGTACGTAGCTCAGCAAAAAGGCACCGGTGCCGTGTCTTCTGCTGTGCAAATCCACAGAAGCCTGAAAATGCCACATCCTCTGTCTGAGCTTCAGGCAAATAGATCTGACATCCTGGATACCATTCGCCAGGCTGGGGCAAAGTGCAAAACACAATCGAGCAAGCAGGTCTGAGCATTTCTCCGGGTCATGCGGAACTTGGCTTTGAGGAGCAAGAGAGAAAGGCTGAGTACCTGCTCGAGAGACGTCGTGAACTGGATGAGGTGGCAGAGACATCGGATCCATGAGTCATGACCTGCAACTGGAACAGTGTAAGCCCATTACCACCCACAGGAAAAGTCGGCTGATTGCACTTTCGTCCCCCGCGTGAAGGAGATTTTTCACCAGGACAGCTGTGGCATATACCTGCAACTACAAGACACTGCAGCTTTTATGTTCTATTCTGGTGCGTTGAACCGCGGCTGAGGACTTGCATAAGCCCGTGGCAGTCAGCGGCTCCTCGCCACATCAAATCTTTTTTACAAGACTTGCATGTTAGACACAACCAAGCTTCTGCTGCCTCAGCATGCGCTGGGACAATTGCAGGTCTAGATCGTTTCTTTGAGCTCAAGAGTTTGGCCCTCAAGAAGCAGCAGGACTACAGTGGTTGCGTGGGGCGTGGTAGATGACGCGTATATCAATATGACCCGCTAAATCGCAATGGATTCGGCCCACATTCTTTACCAAGAAAATGCAAAGTAAAAGAAACACTTGACGCGCTCGACTTTGACCAGCGAATTTCCTTCAAGACCCACTGGACCTGTTAGCAAAAGCTTTGACTAGCATTAGAATCACAAATCACTCAGAGAGAGCGCCCGGAGGTACTTATCTCGCTTTGCGCAAGCTGTCATTGAGGAGCAGCTGGAACGCGAACAAAGGGTGTTTCGCCCCGAGAGCGTCTCCACGGGCACGTCACGCCCTTGGACTTGATGGTAGCCTGTTCAGGCGTTCGGCTCAACAGCGTGAAGTAGGGTTTCAAGATACGCAAAGTACGTGTTGAGCGAGTCCTGCAGGCAGGAAGGTGTCACCATTCCGGAGCCCTTTGAGCTCTCTGAGTGCAAGGACCGAAACAAGGCCTGAAGCAAGTCTGAATGCCGCAGTGTGTTTGGTGGAAAGTCAGGTGAGCCCCAGGCCTGGGAGATTTCGGATTCGCTTCAGTCGCACATTTGCTGAGGAGTTCCGACGTCCCCTGCTTGACGAGGACAGTCCCACCAGCACCGCTCAAGCTACTCGCAGGCGGTGTACCAACATCACATTTGGACTAGCTGCGCATGGCTGGGTGCATTTACGGGTGACTTTGGAATAGGTCCCAAGGCGCAAGCGAGGCGCAAGCCGCAAGCCTTAAGATGCCTTGGTCATTGTGGGGTGAGCCAAGCTGCGCTGAATTTACTTGCGCTATCAAGCGGTGATAATATAGTCTTGCCATGTTTGACTGAGCTGTGGCCTTTGAGATGCATCCTTCAGGACTGTACGTTTGCGCCGCAGACCAACGAGACTCACAACCGTGGCTTGTTTGACAAAGTTCTCTGACGTGATATCGGCAGACTTGCCTTGACAGTATCAACTGAGGAGAGATGATCCAGCAGTTAATGGGCATGGTGAAGGTGCATTAATTCGGCAAAAGCGGACAGCCTAGCCAGGCTTAAGGACCTGGCGGGGAGTAGGAGCATGGTAATGATGGGAGTCTTACTTGCTGGCGGCGTCCGCGCCATGACAAAGGGTGGAATTCAATCAGCGCTCTGCCGTGACTCCCGCATGCCTGGGCTTGTGAACACTGTGTGGTTCACACAAAGTGAACGGTTTGAAGAAGGTCTGGCTGTAGCCCATCCTTGAGTTTACATGCATTGCATCATGATTCACACAGAGCGCTATGCTCCAGAGTGACGTGCCAGATGGGGTGGAAGGCAGGCGAGAACAAAGATTGTTGCGCTTGCCACTGGATGCCCATGCTACCACAAGCTGTCAGCATGCCAGCAGGATGGTGCGCAAGAGTCCAGATCATAAAGTCTTTAGATCAACAGCATGAAGGCGAGTGAGTGAAAGATTGAAGGAAAGACAACCAGAGGAAACAGAGGGCGAGGCAAGTTGCAAGGTCACCGACGCTTAGCAGGGAACTGCCACAAAACGCGAGAGTAAGAAGTGTTTGGCTTGACTTTACGTCTGCCACACTTCAGTAAACGCAAGGCATCAAGCAACGATATCAAAGGTTGCAACACGCCGCTTGTTGGTGGCCTCCATTCTTTCGAGTCATTGGTTAGTGTGCCCAGAACAAGCTGAATGTACAGGGTGGGGGGATGTCTAAGGCTGCCAGCTAGGTGTTTTACGCGCCTACCGTAATGTGTCTAAACAGAGAAGCATGCTTCCGGCCTTGCGACTTGAACACGCGCGGAAGCTTTGGGGAAGGGCAAGCTCCGCGAGAGCACTGGGTAGGCTTATATGATTGGTTTTGAATTCGGTCTCGATGTACGGAAGCGAAATTTGCCACTTTGCTCGGCAGAGCCATTATCGAAGCGCTCGTGGAAGCGTGCTATCACCAGAAGTTCCATGGGACATCCAAACCAACCACGCAACGGATGCAAGGGAAACCTCTTCTTAAAAGTAAGCCATAAGAGGCCCAGCCAGAGTGGCAGCACCAGAGCACACTTTTGTCGCCCTTTACCGGGCGTAAATGAAAATCTGAGGCCAAGGCTGCTGTGTTGGGGGGCTGCAGAACTGCAGCAAGGCAATAGCAAGGTATTATGCGATCTCAAAAGAGGCTGCGCCACAGCAGCTGCTTTGTATCGTAGGAGAAGACAAATTAGTAGTTGCACTACACAACAAGAACAAGAACAACAAAAGCAGTGGCAGCATCAGCAACAGCAGCAACAGCAGCAGCAGCAGCAGCAACAACAACAACCGCACAAAACATTACCACGGCTAGTAATGTTATTAGTATCATTGTTATTATTACCGCTGGCTACAGCGACCAAGACAGTCAGCAGTGATATGCACTAAAGGAGATGCAGCCTCCATCGTGACGATGCGAAGACAAACAAGTACATCAAGTGCTCTTGTGTGCGCTCCAGGTAGCACGTCTGCTGCGGCCTGGATTGAGGCGGCTGGAGCCATCTTCGCCACTTCCAGGAGCCTGGCTGTCGCAAGTTTCACATTACGTTTTTTGCTACATTCAAGCTCACCAATGTCCGACCAATATCCGGCCCAGCATTCCGTTTGGTAATGGTAGGCTAGTCATGAGATTCCATGGTATTCCATGGAGGAAAAGGCGTAACAGGAACCACCGGGTCGTAACAGGAACTTCGTAACAGGAACCAGGGGAACCCTCGTCACAGGAACCAGCAGGCCCCAAAACAGGAACCGGGGTCGTCCTGTAACAGAAACTTTTCCTGGATACCGAAACTTTTTTCGGGGGAGTCTCTCTTCAGCTTAAAGTGGAACTTATTTTGAGAAATGTTCCGATGAGCTGGATACTGCCCCAATCCTCATTCCCAAAAGGATTACAACTTGCTATAAGCGTCCCCCAAACGGGCCGACGATTTTGAGAAGTTCCCAAGTAGTCAGTTTCAGTTCTGGGTCCCTTGAGGGAGCGGGGCTCACGAGGGGAAGGTGGCCCAGAAGTTGTCATAAGGTTCCCCCTCACCCGCTCCGTGAACTGTCCTGTGCAGTTATCCGCTTTGCATGCTTTTTGTTCCACCCTTCATGAAGAGAGAGGGGCAGGGGGACAGCACCGTAATCCCGAATTGGCTGTGCTAGGGCCAAGTGATTGCATCGGGTCAAACTTTCAGGTCTGCCATCCTGCCCGAAGGTAGTAAGGTTCTCAGTTGCAGGACATTTCAAGAAGCCACCTCGACAAGACATGGGTATAGAGGGTGTATAAGGGCATATAGGGGGGCCCCCTTATGGGATTCTGTTGATATATGAACTGCTTGCTGGAAATCAGCAGATGAAGCGGCGTAAACGCGAAACCCGAAGCCATAAACCCGAAACCCCAAACCTGAAACTAAACCCTAGACTCTGGTAAAATGAGCTGCAGATTGTCTCTTTGGTGACTCTATCTTAGGGGAATTATGGGGGGGTAAGGTATAATGGGGTATATTGGAGGGATACTCGTGGTATATTACGCGTATTATGGATGTATATGAGAGGTTGTCTGGGGCGGTATGGCTGTTCATTGGTTGCTCGGGACCGCTTTCCGAAGGTTGACAGCTGGCCGACATGAGGTGACCGCCAGCCGGTCACCTTATTTTGGCTAGCTGGTTTAGGGTTTAGGGTTAACGCGTGTGAGGGGGGAGGGGCCGGGGTCAATGGGGGGTCGAAGAAGGGTTCTGGGGCGAGATGGTGGTTTATTGGGCGCTTCGGAGGAGGCTCGGGAAAGTGTCACGTCCGGAAAAGAGCTGGAAATTAAGTGCCGGCCAGCTGGGCGCCCGTACTCGTCCATTCCCGTTACATCCGGCCCGGTTCCGGTTGCACGCCCGGCGGTTCCCGTTACCTGCGGCAGCAGTTACCGTTTCACCCGGCCCCGGTTCTGGTTACCCGTGGCCCGGTTTCCGTTTCACGGTTCCCGTTACGCCCCGGGCGGTTCTCGTTACAGCCTACATCCTAGGAATTCCATGCGTGAACCATAGAATATGCAGAGGGCCTAGAGCCGTCAGCTCTGTTATTGCCGTGAAGTATACCTGGGTTACTTTACCTCAACGACTTCTAGAATTAGTGCTGGCACAAGACGTTCTCGAGCACGACCACCCACAAAAGGACGGCTGCAACAGGAACTACTGTGAAGTACAGTCGCTATGACCCTCCTACAGCTTCCCTAACTAAGACGAACGGGAGGATTCCGAGTGGCCTCTGCTACTTTCTGCGTTCTGGTGCTTAGTCCATGCTGTCCTCTCAACTCTGGAAGACCTTCGGTGCCTGAAGCGCAGGAGATATTGGCAAAGCGTGAAACTTTACGGCCGCTCTGAAGGCACCAATCTCAAACTTGAGCTAGACTTGGACGTCAGTTCGGGAAGTTTACGATGGCTCCTTTCACCCTTTCGAGCCCTTGGGAATGATTCCTACAAGCGCAGGTAGTACCATTGCAAGTGCCGAGGTGCAACCTTGGAGAAGATTGACACTGCGGATGTCTTGTGTGAAGCTGGCGAAAAAGTCCTGGACCATTTGGTTCTCCGACACATAGCCGGACGGAGCGCACCGCCCATGCTGCCAAAACGGGATGGCGAGGGAATCTAGCAGGTGCACAGCAGGTTAAGAACCGATCCACGCAGGTCAAATGGACCCGCGGCAGCGAGCAGAGCATAGGCGACATTGGGGGCAAAGCAACGCAACTCGCACTTTCAAGCGTCGTCTGACCAGCATGGGAAAGTGTAATTTTAGAACAAACAAGCTGACTATGTTTTTTGGGCTGACACGTGCTTACATTCACCTACAGGAACCCTACAGCAGAACTCTGGTCCAGTCATCAGCTAAAAGACGGCAGCCCATTTCATGGGATGAGCTGTTGCTTGCGTGTTGAACCAGAAGCAGGCCGCTTGCTCATGAAGGCGGGTGCTGTCAGGTTCTCTGTGCCCAGGAAAGGCAGTGGGATACGGTTGAGAAGATTTAAGCGCAGCATACTCAAAGCGACTCCTGTTTCCATAAAGCCTTGTAGGAGCCAAAATTCGACAGGTAGGACGCTGTAACAAGCAACGCGTATGCGCCAGTGCCTTATGCGCCGAATGATCCACTGTGCACAGGCCAGGCCATACATTTTGTTATTTCAAGATTTTCAAGCTTGCCCACAACGAGCAAAACACCCAGGCAAAAACAAGGGAGCTTCAGCCAATATTCCCCACTGCTGTGTCACAGACAGGGCGCATGGATTTGTGCAAGCTCTTCAGGCTCAAGCTGAGCCGAGCCTGTCCCATTGGGAATCAATTTCAGATCCTTGCCGCAATGCTGGACCGTGCTGAACTTGAAGACCGCACTCTGAATTTCTTGTTTGAGGCTGCCACGAGGTGCCCAACAACAAGTGCCGCCCCATTGGTGCCTCTGTCTTGTCTGCTTTGAAGGTATAGTCTGTTGGCGCCGTCGGCATCGAGATCTCTTGCAAGGAGGCAGCAAGCATGCATGCGTTAGCAGCCGCCTCTGGCACTCTTCGGAACGAGCTTCCCCGACAGGATGCGCGTGTTTGCCAAGAACTCGAGAGTTGCCCTGCATGCTGCCAGCGTGGAGCAGCTGATGTGCGGGCGTTGTTCACAGGTGTATGTTCCAGGAAGCGATGATTTGTTTGCAGCAAGCCCGGCAGAAAATCACCCCCATACCTGTTGCACAACATGCAGGATACAATTGCCAAGTGTTGGTGCGGCGGGTGGGAAAGAGGAGGAAGATTATGATGACGAAGAGTGGCAGGCGTGTTTCTGCATTCCTGTCGTCATCTGTCATCGTAAGGGGATTCAGTAGAGTATGCGGCTCACGAAGGAAGGCGCTTCCAGAGAGCAAGCGCCCTGACCGGAAGACTACAGACGGGGCACAAGGAGAAATGCCAGATATTTGCTGGATGGACTATCATGTCGCGCAGCCTTGATCTTGCAACGAATAGCTGCAGCTAATTTGTTGCAGCATTGTTCCTGGTCTCGCGAAGGAGGCAGTGTGCGAAAGCATCCTCTCAGCAAGATAAGAAGGCAGGTGATTTCAGCTGCTTGGGCATGTCGGTATTGATCCTGAGCTGCCATCAACTTTGATTTTGTTTTTCAGGCTTCGCATGACTTTCGCCCATGGCACAAGCCATGTCATGCACTTCAAATGATGTTTGCCTGGAGGTGCGTTCACTATATTTGCCGGTGGTGTGGCTGGCGACGACAGGTGCTCCTTCCTCGTCAGCCTCAGCGCCCTCTGCGTGAGGCAGCAACATGCGACCATCAAGCCTCGCACCATCATCAAAGCAGGAGTTGACAGAAACAGAATGCATAATCTCAGTTTGCAGAGAAGGCTAAAAGCAATGCTTTTTGGACCACATTGCGTTTATACCGCTACTTCGCGGGTGAGAAGCAATTCATCAGCTGAGATTCATCCACTGCACACAGCGATAAGGTCACCACCATCAGGCGGTAAAATCCAAAAGCCTGACTTGGGCAAGCCAGGGCGAATTTTCAATTAGTCGAGGACAAGCCGCCGTGCAAGAGTATCCTGCGGCAGCAGCAGGAAGCAGGTTCTCCTAACATTGGTGAATGCACTGCATTCCTTTCCAAGGTACAGGCAGAAATTGATTGCTTTGTAACAGAAGCACCTTTCCCAGCCTGTACAAGAGCATTGTTTCTTGGTTTGCACACACGTGTCTTGGAGAAAGCGTCCCAACACCTGAGTTGTACAATCCGCTGACTGACGTGGCTGCGCAGGTGTCGGGCGCGCGGCCGTCAACACTGACGTTAGCTGAGAAAAAGCAGGTGGCAGTCAACGAGGAGGCAGGAACCCTCCAACTGGCTTGCCCCTCTTCATGCGGCATAGGGTCTAGCACCAAGATTCGCCTATCCGACCTATCCTCCTGCACTTCTTTCTGCGAAGAAGGCAGAAGAATTAAACTCAAAAGCAGCTGATAGCAGTCGAACACGAAACGCTGTATCATGGCCAGCACACATTGCAAATTAAACAATATGGATTGACCGAAAAAATCTGCGTTGTGCTGCCAGGCTCGAAATGCGGCCATGGCAGCCAAAAGGCTCAAAAAAGCAAAGGCGCAAGTGCCATCCCAAGAGGGATTGTTGAAGCTCAGAACGTACAGCCCTTTCCCACTCAGGCCAAAAGCACGTCCTCACGCAAGGTTTCTGAGGCTGGTCATATAATGTTTATAATGCAAGTTATGATGATCCATCGAATGTTTGAATGTGATGAGAATTGGCTGCTTAATCACGAAAGTTAGCCTACGAGTCTAGCTTGAGTTTCTTGTCATGCGTGAGCTTGCAACAAGGGGTGTGTGGGGTGTGACTTTCCGGGGGTGGTCATTTTTTGACAGGTATTTCAGCCAGACAGCAGGGCAGGGACGGTTTCAGGCGTGGATCGGGGGTCGTTTTCCGACCCCCGAAGAACACGACATGAAGAACATCGTATCTGACCCTTAAAGAACTTATGAAGAACACCTCGTTTTTCCTCAAAGGAAGGGACAAAAGGGTGTGAAAGAACACGCTACCAGTGCCTCACAGGCAAGAAAAAATACATGGTCGACCCATCGCATGAACCCTGGACAGGGTTCGTTCAAGCTTCCTGGCCTTCGTCCAAGCCCCCTTGTGTTTGAGCATAGGTACGTACTGTATCTACTGGAGTAACAGACTATTGGAGAGCATTAGATGAAACGTTGTAGGTAATATGCAAATACTACAGACACCTACATTTGCAATGCATACTATTTGAGTGCCACACAATTTGGTGTCTATTACAAGTGTGTGTCGTCCTGTAGCTTTCCTCATTCCAAGCAGTAAAAAACGAGAGAGTGCGCATCTGCATTCTTCCAATTAGATCTTGCTCTAGCTTTCGTCCCAGTCGCTCTCCCCTAAGTTTTTTGCCAGCCTCAGAGCGTCTAAAGCCTGCCAGGCATCGGCATCAGTATACCTTAGATTCAAGCAAGCTGAAAGTCGATCCCTGAACAAGCTTGAATCAGTACTTCGGCAGATGGTCACAGAGCCGCAGATTGAAGATCCTCTAATGACAATGGTTCGCAACCCCGCAACTGAAAAAGTCATTGTTAGCGCAGGGGATTAGCCAGGGCGACTTCGTGACAAAGGATGGAGGCTTGGCGCAAGCATGTTTTTGCAGATTGTAGGCACCATCTGTTCTGAGTTTGAGACTTGTGCAGACTGGCACTTGCTTCGAGTCTTCTCAAGGACCGGATTCTGTGACCCTCGCCTCAACATCCTTAGCCCAAGAGGAGCCAGCAGCTCAAGAGGTCACGGAATGGACTCCCCAAAGTGAGATGACATGAACTACCCGGATGCAGCAGGCCGCGCAGTTGCGGGCCTCAAACATCAAGAAGCAGGACACTGTGCTGCTTGCTTGGCAAGTTGCTTGGGCTACATTGTAATTCCTGCCATGCAGGAGCAGGAGCACCCAGTCAAGATTCACAACTCGGCAACAGAAATGCCACAGGTGCGGTGAATTTGCAGCGTGTTTGCACAGGATGCAAGGGGTAGTCTGCAGTGTTGGATGATGTCTTCTGGCAAGGCATTGCAGCAGAAACGCATGCAAGTTGAAGCGAAGCAGGAACCAAAGGCACGCATGGCTCATGTCTTGCATATCGGCGAGCATCAGATTGTGCAGCAAATGGTGTTGGCCGCACGTGCAAGATATAATTGGCAGTAATACTAGTTTGCAGAAAGGCCTGCAAGGTGCAGCCGAGCAGTCTCCCACACATTCAAAGGATTGGGACACGGCCAGCAGCGCCATGAATTTAGTTGAGCTGCTTGTCAAGCAACGCTGACGGCCACTTTAGCATGATCCAACCGAGCTCCTTAGCAACGATTCATGCCGGGCCTGGGGTCATTCTAACTGACTTTACCTGCCTCCAAGCTGCCCCAAGCCCAGCACCGATTTTGGCTGCCAATCTCTGAACTCCTAACGGCCTCAAGAAAACATGATAAGGTTCTGTCCAAAGTGTGTTTCAATTGATTTCCTTGCCTTTTATGCGTTCATACCCTTGATTGAACTTACCGCAGATCCCAGGTTGTGCTGAGAATGCCACAATGGTTTGACTTGAAAGGTGTCTCGCGAGGGCGTCACACTGGGGATTCCCACACTCTACCAAATCCTTAGCACATCATATCCTGTCGCGTGGCATGTCTCTCGAGGGCGTCACACTGGGGATTCCCACATCCCACCATATCCTTAGCACATGATATCCTGTCGTGCGGCCCAAGGGCCGCCAGAATTGAATGCGCACTATCATGTTAAAGCAGCAAACTGCGTCTTGCGCACAATCGTGAGTCTTGGTAACATTGCAGCACAAGATTTGAGAAGGGTGTCTACATGGTGATATGGGCCTACAGATTTGGATGCGTACCATGATTTCAAAGCTGCAGCCTGCGTCGCAAGCGCGGTTGGTGAGTTTTGGTAACACCGCAACGCAAGACGTGATAAGGGCGTCTACATGGGGATTCGGGCCTACGGATTTAGGTGCTTACCATGATTTCAGAGCAGCAGCCTGCGTCACGCGGTCAATTTGTTAGTTTTGGTAACATTGCAACACAAGACGCGATCAGGGCGTCTACATGGAGATTTTTTGGGTTGCCTTCTGCCGACGTGGGGTGCCTTTGCCTACGGGGGGCGTCTAAGAGCAGTGGGGTGCCTTTTGCACGTGTGGTGTGCCTCAGGTCGCTGATTTGTAGCGGCCCGTGGGTGCGGGTGGAGGGGGGGGGCCTCGCGAGAACGCTTCACACGTGATCATCATCAGCACAATTGGGATTGCATCTTGGGCTGAATCAGGAACATGAAGGTTGAAAAACCATGAAAAACCCAAGAAATGACACCCTAAACGATGTGACTACCTTCTTGAGCGCAAGTCTCCGGCTTTTTGATGCACATTTCATATTTGCAATTTTGGATTCAACATCTTGCCACCTTCAGTAGTTTCGATTGGTGTCACTGGTAGCACCGCAACACCAGGCAAAATGTGCAGTTGAAAGTGTTGGGCCTCCAGAATACGTGCAGCTCCATTTGCGTGCTCGTCATGCAGCACTAGCAATGCTGCTGTTTAGTATTTTACCACCACAAATATTGCAAGCAGCACGTTGATTTGAAACTTCTTTCCGGAGGGCCCCCTGCAGAAACGAAGGTCCAATGATGCTCGGCACAGCACTCACCGCGCATAGCAAAGCTATGGCTACATTGCTGACGTGAGCAAAAGAGGGCAGACGGGGCAGCGGGTAGGCGAGCAGAGAAGGTCGGGGGCCGATTTTCTCTGGAAGAGAGGGCGGGTAGGGTCTGGGCAGAAGGAAGGGCAGCATTTTGCTTGGAAGCGCTGGGGGGCTTCACAGAGCATGAGGCCACAAGCCGGTAGGGTGCTAAATCCACGAGGCATGACCAGGGGAAGAAGGGGCGGGCGGGTAGGGGTCGGGGCGTACAGCATGGATATCGGGCAGATAAGGCCTCGCACTGGCCAGGGCATGGAGGGAGCGGGACGGGCAGAAAGATTTTCTGGCCAGCATTGCTGCGCCGATGCCCAGGCATTTTTCAGCGGATATCCCATCTAATCCTGGCTTTCCTAGCAAGTTGCATCTTCAACCTCACCAGTCGTCGGGAGCCACAGGCAACCGCTGTCAGATCCTTCATATGACCCCTTGCATTGCAGGCCAAGCGTCGACCCCGGCAGGCAAGCCCAGAGTAGCCTTGCCATCAGCAACAGGCAATAGGCAAGTGTTAGGTTCGTGCTCGTTACCTTTTAAGGGGTGCCATTCAGTGGATGTGTCTTGAGCGGGCAGATTGGCAAATTGCTGGCAAGCGTCGAGTGTGTACAGGACACGATGAGTCGAGCGCTGGGGCAGCTTGCACAAGCTCAGGAACCGAGCTTCTGAGCCAGAAATGAGCCAAAGCTGCCGCATCTAATGCTCAGGGCACATCCCTCGTCTCACACTCCTAGCTGAAGGTTCCCAACTGCAAAATGCTTCGTAGGGCCGGTGTATGGGATGATTGTCCTCTGACCATGCTTTGTGTAACACACAAACCGCAATCATGCTGCTGCAAGCCAGCATCTGCTCACAGGGTCGAGTGGCACTGCAGGAGTCCTCCCAAACTAGGCATCCAGGCTTGAACATGGCCCGCTCCTCCAAGCTGATCACTGCTTGCGTCGCCCTGGCCGTGTGCGTCGCGCTGCGCAGCCTTGCCTTCCTCAGCAGCCCTGCGCCAGCCACGCAGCTCCGCGGGAGCACTCCCCTCGAAGTCGCAGCAGGTGCCGCAGTGCCAGCAGTCATGATGACACCCACTGCCGCGATGGCAGCGGATGGGGAGGGCATGCCATCCGTAGTGCTGGGAGTTGGCATTCTCTGCACCACGGTTGCAAGATGGCCTTAAGCAATCCTTTTGTTGATTCAGACAAGCTTCATGCATGTACGCTGCTGGTTGCCTCAGGCATGCTGGCAGCCTTCAGCGCAGTCTCCAGCGTCATCAGCGCGACCGTGACCTCGGAGCTTGATTGA